ATGGATTTTTAACTAACATTTTAATGAGCTATACATTACCATAAAGCATGGATTAAGCTAAATTGAATTGTGTGTGTGTCTGTGTGTGTGTTCGTGTGTGTGTTGGTATTGTGTAAAGGAAAGAGGTTCATTAAGAGTTAATTATATTGTTTCTCAGGAGCATCTCATGCATTTCTCCTGGATTGGCCAGCAGAATAGCCCACTGAGGTCTTACTGTCATTACTGTGCTGCCCAGGGGCTTGTTAGGCCAAATTAGAGATGCTGTTTGAAAAATGAGCTTTGAACGGGGTTGCTGTTTAAATAAGGATGTTTGTTTAGGCTTCTACTATCTACTGAATCAGAGGTAGATTCACAGTATGTGGTATGGGTTTGATGGAATGCACTCCATTTATTTACAGTCAGTCCCATCTATTCAGCACCTTTGTACTCCTCTCCTCAGTTTGACCTTGACCTGTTGTGTTGTGTGCTCTTTCCTCTTGGTGTTCTCACTGGAGCACACATGCTCTGTCTCTTTTATTACATTAAAGGCTCTGTTAAAGATTCACATTTCATATGATATCACCACCCATGATTTCCCCCCACATGGTATCACTGCTGGCCATATGATTCTCTTTACCTTCACTTTTTCCCATATTTCCTGCATCTTATCTGTGAAAGTGACAGTGTTATTTACAATCCCTTAGCTCAGGATTTGCAGATAGGGAGAATGGTGGTGGAGATCATATCGGGCTTGGCCATGCTCTATGAAGAATGATTGGGTATGCATGTATATGGCTTCATCTGCAAAACCTCATCTGCAGTCAGTGCAGAGAAAGCCCTGACAAGCCAGTGAAAGTGAGTCAAGGGGGCAAGATGCAACACATGGGACAATGCTGTGGGATTTGGAAAGAAATTGATGAACTAAGAAGATGGAAGAAATAGAAAGAAAAAGGACGACCCCTGATTGTGATTGGAGAGAATAAGGCAGACATAGAGAGATGGTGATGAGTTGTGCTAATGATGAGTCTCTACTCAGTTCTCAGAGGAGGTACAGCCTTGGGCACCGCCAGCCGGCCATATTTTTGCAGCTGTTTCTCTGGTCTGACCTGCAACCCCTTAGTGGAGGAATATAGGGGATATGTGTGAACCTGCTGCTTGCCTGCCTGCTGAGGGGGTAATTTCTGCATCTGGATGGGGGGCAAAGGTTAGCTCTGGCCGGTGGGAGGGCAAATGAGCGAGTCAGAGCTGGAGAGAGCTTGCATCCAGACAAATGGGGCACATCTCCTTTCACAGTGTAGTATTATATAGTGTGGTATTATCCTTCTCCTGCCTTCAGCGTCAACAGTAATACTAAACATCAATGACAGCACATAGAGTGGGTTTGGTATGTTTTGTCAAGTGACATATATATTGTCTCTTTTCTCTAAGGGTGGAATTGAAAATGGCGGTATTATAATAGCACTCTGCCGGTTGAAGCGCAAAAAGCACTCGAACAAAATGATATTATAGCTTGGAGCTACCTCTCTACAGCTCTCCGAGTTTGTGTGTGTGTGCATGGTTTATTTTCTAATCAGAGTGTGGGTAGAAGGTGGTGGGTCTGGGTGCTGGGGTATGGCCCCAGGCTTCTAGCTGTTGTAATCTCTCTCAGTGTTTCTTAGCCCCTGACCCAGGAGAATATCTATGAAAGCACGGAGGGTCTTTTTCTCCAGTAAATAGGGAGGGAAAAGTAATAACAACCACACAAAAATACACAAACATTTGCAGTATTACAAAGAGATACAAGACCCTGCAGCTTTTAAGAAATGTTTCACAGTTTGTCAGGGTTTGTGTAAAGTCATTTGTGTGTGTGGAGAAGGCCTGTCAAAGCAATGTGAATGTCAAAATTGGTTTTAGACATCAGTCTGTGGTGTTATGGCAGTGAGTGCAACCTTTGTGAACCAAAGCTAGGTACACTCCTGTAGGTGAATCCATTTGTCAGCATTTATCTCAGTATGCAGGCTGGACGCCTAAGTCAAGGCTCCCCACTAATCTCACCGACAAGAAGTGTCACCCTCCAGTGAGTAATATCTTAGGTTAGAGAAGAGGGTGCACTGTTCAGAATATCTCTCCCATCCTGTCCTTGCCATGCCACCACTGTGCTTTGATGCCGGATGTTTTTGTTGTCAGGTATATGCGTCAGAATGATTTTTTTGTGTGCTCAGTCTATCTTAGATAAGAGCACACACACACAGGTGGACCTCACTAATGGTTGCTGGCACAGGCCTCCTCCTGCCAATGTAGGACAATCTGGTTTACAAAGTAACTGTGTGGGTGTCTCCTTTGTGTTTTTATTTTGGCAAAGACCCCCACTCTCAACCCCTTGGCTGTTTCACAGCGCATGTTGCAGCCTGACTCCCTCCCCTTTAAGTTTGAGGCGTTGAAACAGTGCCAGCTGAAAGAGCTGCACATTTGCCTCGCTTTGCCCCCTGCCTGATGCTCCTTCATTCAAATCGGCCCACTCCTCTGATATTTGGGAAATAAATAAATAAATGAAATACGAGCGGCAAAGGCAGATTAATATTATTCAGATATGGGTTCTTTTTAGCCTGCAGCCAGATTAACAGATGTAGCACTTGCCAACAGAGGGGTGTAAATGTAAAAATATATAAATATTAATACGCAAGTGAGCAAGACGGCAGAGTTTGGGGCCTGCTGGAACTCCATGGGAGGTGAGATGTTTTCAATTGAAGAAGAGCTGAGTGTTTCAGGGGGATAGAAAGGCAATTACCTTACGTCTGTTAGCTGATTCGGGCCTGAATGCCTACAGGAGCTCAGAGTTGGAGCCACAGTTCTGACAGCATATACACAAACCTACTTAATGATACACACATCAAACACAACAGTCATATCATGATTCTAATATAAAAGCACTCACTTGCCTTATGATCCCTGACATCGTGTAGTACAGCCCATGAAGGTGCCCGCAGGCACCAATGTGAGAGATACATGCTCATACTGTAATGAAGCAAAGCAAAAGTTACACTGAGGTGATGAATATTTGAGTTGTGTGTGTGCTTAGGAGGATGACCTTGATGACTGTGGTGTTGTAGTTAGAATTAGATCGTATGGTAAAGTGTATTTGGATGGGCCCCTCCCCTCATTTACTTAGTAAGAGTATCTGTTCAGAGTGTTGTCTTGGTATTAACAAACCCTGAACCAACACACAGGGCATAATCCCCTCACCAGTGATGTGTCATCTGTTTGTTTGCTTGTAGCTGTTTGTAACCCTGTGTTTATCCTGTCCTCAACAAGTGTGTGTATATTGTATTTTATTTGCTGGAGTGTGAGGCTGATCTGTTTTTATTTTTCTGTTTGTACATTTTGTGTATTTATTTAGATTGCAGGTTAGGGATGCATTTACTGTGACGCACTGTGCAGCATTAGATTAGATTAGACAGCGTGGCACAAGCACCGTAATGATGCACCTAATGTGTGTTTCTTTTGTCACTGTTCTGTTTCAAAGGAAATTGATTCTGACAAAATCCCATGGGTGCTAGCAATGAATGGAAAGGAGCAATTAAATCCAATGTGATCTTGAAAACAACAGCCAGTGTATAGTCCAAACCAGGCTATGATTTTAAACAGCAGGAATTGTTTGTAATGCAAATACGGAGAGCCCAGTGGTGATGGCTGTTATGCCCACCCTGGCTAGGGGGTCGGCCACTCTGGAGCTGGCTAATTACCGTAGCTCTTTAGATTAGAGGTCGCTGCATGAGAGGGAGAACACCTCTACTTATACCTCTTCTGTATTGTCTCCTATTACCCCTGTGTAAAGGTTTCATTTGAATTCATGTCACACAAAAGTCCCACTCTGTAACCCTGTACATCCCCAGGATAATTGGGTTGAAAGCTTCCTCTCTTCCCCCACACAGCTTTCCCTTGGTCTAAATAAATAAATAAGAAGACAATGGCTGCACGGCTTTCTGCAGAGAGAGTAAGAAGAGTGAATGAAGAGATGAGAGAAGCCTGGAGCGCAGGGACCAGTTATCCCCCTCTTATAATCCTGGCCCTCCCCGCCATTGTCCCCAGTGCTATGTGGAATTTACATAAGGACCTGTGGTGCTGCCCTTAATTTAGCTCTTCTCAAGCATCTTCAAACATTCTCCAACGAGCTCAGTCCTTTTATCCTTCAGAGGAATCATATGTCCCTCGCTGGATGGACACTGCCGAAGCTGAAATTCCTAAAGTGCTACTCCACGGATTAGATTTATTGTAGATCAAATGGAGATCTGTTTGAATGCACACAGCAAGCGAGAGCCAGAGCGACCTCTAGTTTGTCTTTAAATCTTTTTTTACTACATTATGTAGTATGTATGCATTTGTAGGTACATTGTATCCTGCTCTGAATACCCCATTGACTGAAGGTGTCATTTCTTACAGTTAGTTTAGTGTGTTTGTGCTTTCACATTTGCCTTTGTGTGCTCATGCGTGTTTGTGTGTGACACAGCAGCTCTCCTGGTTTGATAATGAGCCGGCGTTATGTGTTTTGCTGAACACTATGCAGGGTCAGAGGCTATCTCTGTGATGAAAGGCCTACCTGAGGGTGATTAGATACAAGGCCACAGTTGTTCATCAGACCACCCACTGTTTTTTTGTGTGTTTGCATGTATCTGGTTGTGTGTAAGTGTTTATGTGTGTACATGCCAGCAAAGTAAAGCAGTGTTGCACCCCTGTGAGCTCTCACATGTGAATGACACTAGGCTTCAGGGCATTCTGTCTCTGTTTGTTCTGCTACCTCCACAGGGACCTCCATTAGCTCCAATTAGCCTTCACGTGTGCTTGCCTTGTCAGATGAAGCTGCACATCCCATTTAAATAGCCACGATTAAAGCTGCATACATTGACGCTGTCTAGTGCACACAATGTAACACATAAGAAGACATTTTGAAAATAATGAATTTAAACATTTAGCCATGAGAACAGTATGCTACACAACTATAATCTTCCTGAACCGTTTCTTCCTTTTTTTTTTTTTCTCTTTAGTGCTGCGCGATGATTTCAGACAAAACCCTACAGATGCGGTGGTGGCAGCAGGAGAGCCGGCAATCCTTGAGTGTGTTCCTCCCAGAGGCCATCCTGAACCCACCATCTACTGGAAGAAAGACAAAGTGCGAATTGACGACAAGGATGACAGGATCACTGTGAGTACTATTACCATCTGTAATAATACCTGGACTGAATGGGAAGAACTGTCAATGTCTATTGTGTGTCTGTTATTAGTGTGTTGGCGCACAAAAAGCTCTTGGATCTGGAATGCCACATCTGCCATTGAACACATTTGACCTTTTTTTCATGTGTGTTTTTTATGTGTTTGAAGTGACTGAAAATGGTTTAATAAGGAAGGACTTCAATGCATTAGGAAGAGAAAAATTGGAGGGAATTGGGAGATGGTGAGAATAAATTGAAAATGTATTATCTGTATTTCTTCAGATTCGAGGAGGGAAGCTAATGATCTCCAACACAAGAAAGAGCGACGCTGGCATGTATATCTGTGTGGGTACCAACATGGTTGGAGAGAGGGACAGCGAGACAGCACAAGTCACAGTGTTTGGTAAGCTTTATTTGTCCAGTTCCCCAGAAACAGTTGGTCCTCAGTGATGTAGCAGAGCGACTTCCACACAGTGTGGGGTGTGTTTCTAATGGACATGAAGCTAAAAAGTGGAAATACTTTTAGGGTTTGTTTTCCCACTTGAATTATAATTCATGTTGGTCATGCTTTTTAGTGTCATTACTATATTGCTTTGTCCATATAATGATCATAGAAGAGCTAATGAACAGACTAAGAGAATGAGGTAAACTGAATTTTTAAGCGAGAAAACAGAGTAGGAAAAGGCCACTGTGTGGGGGGAAAAAGTGTTTAAAAAGGCATGTACTGTATAGTCACATACTGACACAACCCAATTTCATCGCATTATAAAATTATCTATTTCTATGCTCTGTGCCCATTCTGCAGAGCGACCAACCTTCCTCCGGAGGCCCATCAACCAGGTGGTCCTGGAAGAGGAGACGGTGGAGTTCCGCTGCCAGGTACAAGGAGACCCTCAGCCAAATGTGCGCTGGAGAAAAGATGATATTGATGTTCCTCGTGGGAGGTATGTACAATTACAAGAATATTCTCAAAAAAGGCAAAGTAAGAAATGTTTATTAAGACAGTGATAAAATGACGACTCATAGGAGCAAACAGTTCACCCTTCTTCTATTACAGTATTTAAGTCTGAATGTACCTCTGCATACCAGTATGTGTGTGTGTGTGTAGTACTGATGTGACAGGCTGCACTTAATGGAAAGGAGATGTGGAGGTATTGCTGTCAGTCTGAATGACTGTTTCAAACTAATGACTAATGATAATCCACACTTCGAGCTCTCACCTGGCCTGGCTGCACATTCAGGATAAAATGACTCCACCCTAGTGTGCCCCACAAGACAGTACTCGCAACTGTAACATGTCTCATGTCAAGAAAGGGGTCTGCATGAAGACAAACAGATATTGAGCTAGACAATTAAAACTGAGTGACAGGTAAGTGGGCAGGGACGCTGAAAGGTAGACATTTAGACGAGCATCTGGCACACTGAAAAGCAGACAGGTAGAGAGAGAGACAGATAGAATGACAGGTGATACAAAGAGACAGAGGATGCCTGCTGACGTGGCCCTCAAGTGTCTGTGCACAGGTGCAGGTGTTCAGGTGAAATCTTGGCACAGACACCTCAGAAACCTAGAAGATAATCACTCCCTCCCTTACACATTTAACCCCATTCAGTCAGTGTGCCCTCACTGGCATGACGTATGCATTCACTCACAGTAGCAAAAACAGAGACTGGTGAAAGAAAAGGCAACAAAAGTCTATAAAATACTGAGAAAATCTAGCATCATTGCCAGCCAATAGACTGGCTCACTTCCTGTAAATAGCCACTGATGATATGGTGATACTACTCTTGTTTGTTCCTGTGTGTTGGCCTGTTGCTTCACCCTGGGTCACTGGACTCAGAGTCAACAGCAGTGTAATGGTCAGTGTAATGGTCAGGAGTGGACTTCAAAGAGACCAGCGTTATGTTCCCAGCCGGCAAGCCAGTCACTCACTGCTTGGATCACCTCATAAAACATACACTCAGTGGACCTGACATCTCTCAAGGCTAGCTGCAGAGCTGAGCGTGGGCGGGTTGTTTGTGTCTGATAAGGATTTGGTTCACTGGGCAGTGGGACATGAGCACTGTGCCAAAGCAAACACATAAAAGTATTTCACTCATGTCTTTGATAGGGAGTTGGCTCTGGAAATAAGTTCATTTTGTACACTAATTAACAGATTTATACCAGAGTAGGATGAGTGTCATATGTCTCCGTCCTTTGCTAACTGTAACATCCCTTTGAAGTTCTGCCATCATATTTGGATAAGGAAAAAGAACTGAACACATAAAACAGACACTGCCAAAATTAATAAGGAATAAATATTGCAGTGTTTGTAATTACAATGTGGGAGCTTTTGTTTTCCTCGCTATATTTAATTCTTCAGTTTTGCTTTGAAGCAGAAAGCAAGCATAAAGACTGCGATATTCTAATTCTGACATTTTCTGCTGCCTTTCTTGCACGCCAAAAAGAAGACTCTTCATATTGTTAAGTGACGAACTGTTCCTGCTTTCTCTGCAGCTTATCCTCACTTAATAAACATGAAACATGGCCTCTCTCTGACTGACAGAGGAATTGTTTAAAATCCCACTAAAGAATGGTTTCCTAAAGGAAAAATAACAGCTACTGTAGCACAGCCATTGCGTTATTACACTGTGGGCGTCTGTAGCTGTATCAGGAGTGGTCTTTACCATAGGAATAAAAGACCAAGATCAAGCACCTCTATAGTGTGGAGGGGTCTTTGTTTGCTGTTATCTGAAAAGGTTACACTGTCCTTATTATTATGATAAGCTGTAGAAAGAGAGACTTAGTAAGACCACTCCTTCTTTACCATCAAATTGTTTTAAGTTGCCTTTGCCGGTACTTTTACACGCGTTGTGCATGCCTGTGTCTTTGGGTGTGTGCGACTTTTATACTAGGAAGAAGAGAAATGGAGCCTCAGCTGAGTAAACAGGTCTTTAATATGCTCAGTGGCTCCAGCAGCCTTCCAGGCAAACACACACACACACACACACACATACACACTGGCACATAGACCTAAAGAACGCCAGGATGGCACTGGCTACAGTCTCTGAGGGATTGAGGAGATAGAGACAGCTCAAGAATGGTTTCAATTAGAGGACAAAGACAACGGTGCTGCTCTTTTACCTCTATGTGGGTCTTTTACTGTGTTTATAAAAACTAAATTAAAATGACCAAGCTTATCTGCTCGAGGTCACTTATCAACAGGCCCTGGCACTGCAATGTATGCTAATGAAATAAGTCAATTCCATATTTTTCAGTATATGTAATGATGAGATATCCCAATGCATATCCCTGTGAAACCATTCAAAAAGTTTGGCAGTTAGAATGAATGGCTAAAAATGTCAAAGAGCAACAGGTGCATTAATTAAGATTGGAAATTAATGTTGGCCCCACACTAGAGGATGATCTGGCAGATTTTGGGACTGATATACCCCTCCCAACAATCGGGGGTATTCCCGATTCAAGGCTGGTCTGAACAAATTATCTGCCCAAACAATCCTGTAATGTAAGGGGTTTACATACATACTGTAATATTAATGGTACCAACTGGATCAGAGTCTTCTCGGTTTCAAATTGTAAATATTAAACATTTGATAGCCAATGTGAACAAGCTGAACGGAGAGCATCACCAACTGGATGTTGTGCACTCTTCTTAGCCATGACTTCATCTGCAGGTTTGTTCTTTTTTTGTTTGTTTGTGCAAAACATAGCGCATACAGGTTTTTTTTGTTTTTTTCAAGTCACATTTTATCACGTGAGTTTCTGTGAGATCTTTTGAGCCCCTGGAATTGCCACTCTGAGATCATTTAGTAAATTCGAATTGTGTGGTCATTTGTCTTGACTGAATCATCTGGAGTGTGCATTCTTACGATTACCAATCAGTTAAATCTGTCATTATGTCTGAGGTATCCTGCGTTTTTAAAATCAGTTAAGATTTGAACATCCTGTAGGGTGTACCAGGCCTTAGATAGTTCTTTGTGTATTAAGAGATCATTTGCATGGACTCTTACCCCTGTTAAATGCTACTAAATATTTAGGTTACCTTGTTCATATGAGTTGCTTGAAGCACTGTGTAATTCTATTTGTCTTTGCACGCTAACTCAATTTATCACTTTTTCTCAAAACATTCACATAGACCCGGTTCGGAAGACATAAATATTCCAGGGGGGAGGGGGTGATGGCAATCAAATTTTCTGGACTGTATTTCACCCAATACTAAATTACAGGATCTGGTTCTTTAAAGGGTACAATATGTAAGATATGCCAGAATTTTAGTTTAAACTAAAATTAACTACGATTATCAACAGAATGTGCTGAAATAACAGTTCTGACATTATGTCAAAGATTGTGTGGCAGAGATATCTACTGAAGTTTGCATGTTAACTAGCTAGCCCCAGCCTGTACTGTCTCATAGTACCACACTTTAAGAGGTGATAGTCCGATAGTATAGCTCAGGCTTAAATGTTATCAAATTATCAAATAGTTCTTTCTGAATTCCCATTATACCTTTACTTAAGTGCAGTACTGGAGTCTGTGAGGTGTTAGGGTTAAATACATTTAGTCCACCACACATAAAATTAGTTATAGGAAGGCAGATTAGCCATGACAGAATAATTACCTGTAGCTGAAATTAGATCATCCAATTTGTTGAGCTTGCGGGGTTCTCTCATAATGACTTTTCTTTTTTCCTTCATCATCTATGCTCCCAAAGACTATGTTGCCATCGGGTCACAAAAAACTTTTCTTCTACAGAACTCTAAACTGCGTGCTGACCTAACAAAACTCAAAAATACAAGGCCTCTCAAGACAGGACTTAAATTATGAGAGGACCAATAAGTGTGCTGAAAAACAGTAGTAACCCGGGGCTTTAATTTTTACCAGGGTATGAGAAAAATCACATATATGCGCTCCGGGCGCGATTAAAATCACTGACCAGCACATGTAATATTAAAATCACCCAACCTCCCCTAGAGAAATAAATGTGGTTCATTCATTTTTTTACAATATACATAAGATTAGGTTCAGATGGTAGAGTAATGAGAAAAACCTTTGGCAGGTGTCATCAAGCAGCAGGATTGTAGCATGTGTCTGAAAACCCTATGAGAACTCTGAAAGAGTTTTTGTATATCTACAGCACCCTTTCATAATGTAACTGAATTTATACCCTCCACATTCGGTTATACGTAAACAGGACATTTTAGTCATTTGAAGTATTATCGGTTTCAGATTAATATCTAATATCTGAATTTTGGGAAATGCACACAATAGCTGCTCCCAGAGAGCTTTGTGTCTCCAAGTAGAAGAGTTTCTGCCATAGTCTACGAATCCCAGTAAAAAGACTTGGGCAGTATGTGTTATCTCCCCATGCCTGCCCGCTCATTGTTTGGCCCAGATCTTGTCCTCCTTTGGTTTCCCTCTCCCTCCTCGTTTGCTCTGGACCTGTGTGCCCTCTCCTGTGCTTTATCAGAGCCCCTTTGGTCTTGCAGTCTATCTGTATTCAGGCCCCCTGTCCCCATTGACCTCCACAGCACAGCCCCTGCAACATTCAGCAGAAAAGCCTTCTTTCTGACTCAATCCCTTTGTGGTGTGTGCGGGCGTGGGTTTGTGTATGATAGAGGTGTGTGGGTCATTCTATTTGAAAGAGCTGTTAAAGCTAGTGTGACAGGAACGCCTATGTTATGCTGACCATCCAGTTTCGGTGATTTCTCACCTCCGCAACTCAGCAGAATGAAAATACGCCAGGCTATGGTTCCTGTCTCCATTACTTCCCCTGATATAGAAGTAGATACATCTGTTATGTATGAGAGTGCATGTGTAAAAGGGTTGGTTAGTGGAATGGCAGAAGGATGAGCAGAGGGATCTTTAAGGTTTATTGACACTGATTGTGTCAACAACAAAGTAAGGTACACTAAAATAATAATTCACTTTTTATAATAGAGGATATAGAAAATGTGCTTTTGCATTAATTAGGAAGATGCACTGCTGATCATTCATTATGTATCAGTGCTTTTCATTTATCTTCATGAAAGATAGAAAAAAATACTTCTCTACTGCAAGAAAGCACAAATAAATACCTCAATACACATCTGACTTTCTCAGTGATTTTGGTATTTGTGCACTCTGTCTTCACACACACACACAAACACACACACGCTCACAAAGAGAGAAAGAGTAAGGGTGGCTTCCAGGCATTGGTCAGTGGGCTGTGCTTTGCTGTTTCTTTTTCTTATCTGCAACATTTTCCAGCACAACCATGGCATCTGCTCCAAACCACTTTGACTAAGTTAAGACTGCACTGCTGCCACCATTGCTGCGGCACTGAGGAGAAGTATCTCTTTTTAAGGCAAAGTTAGGATAAATTTGCTCCCCAATAACCCCCAGTTTAACCATAATGGTTGAAATCTTGTGGGATAAGGTGATGAATGTCAGTCAGATTGATGAAAAACCCTGACTTGGCTGAGGCATGAGAGGTTCCAAGGGGGAGTGGAACTCTGGCTAAGGGCCTTACAGAAGGAAGATGAGAAGCGATAGCAGTTAATTGATTCCCTTACATGGGTGACAAGGCCTGGACAGGTAGACTCCAGCTCTTTTGATCAGGATGAGGTAAAGTAGTAGCCATGTGATGTGAAGCTGGATCAGAGTGTCAGAATGAAATGGAGCAGAGAGGAGACTTTGTGTCAGAGCAGTCAGGCCAGATAGCAGGCTAGTCCTCTGCTGTATCTTGAGTCTGACTCATGTGCTCAGAGTTGGCACACAACCCTTTTGCCTACCGCCGGCCCCATTCACATGTACACACAGAGGCGAGGCAGATAAGATCCTCTCGGGTTGAGTCATTTTGTGGGTAACTGTACGCACACATTCAGTCGTCCATACAACCAAGAGATAAGATTCTCTTAATGTGAGTGAATTGGCACAAGTCTGAAGGTGGAACACGGGTGAGTGTGTTCCTGACAGACAGTTTCAAGGCAAATCCTCTGAGAAGATCCGGAGGATTTTTGAGATGTAGTGCTTGTATAGTGTGTCCAATAAAGTGTTCCATCTTTGCACAGCTTTATCCGTAAAAAAATACTGCTTTGTCTTGGCGTTTGCTTACATTCCCATCACTCCTCATCTCCCTGCATGACTGAATGACTCTACACGTGTGTTGGATGATTGTATACTCTGTTCTCTGTGTGAGTGCGTGTACAGTGTGCCTTTTTCTAGATAAAAATGAATGGGAGAGTCCAGTGGGGTGAGCTTGGCTCTCCTATCCTTTCCACAGCCCTTCTACATGTGCAATTACATTCCTCCTCTAATAGAGAACAGAGCTCTACCCCAATCCAGTCTCAATAAAGAGCTACTGTTCCCTTTCTGTGTGTACTTGTGTGTGTGTGTGGCCACAACTACCTCTTATCCCTGAGTATTTCCACTCATCTTGTCATCTTGGCTGATTCCATATAGGAAGTTGATTACAGATTGATTGGGCTCTTGTTTCCCACTAATAAGTCATGGACCAGCCTGAGGTTCTGTTTGAGAGATTGATGAAGACAGGACCAAGAACAGTAAGCATGTTGTCCAGTTGCATACACGGGTTGCCCTCATGGCAAGGGTTTGGTCATGCAGATGCCTGGCTGTGGGAATCTGTATGAGTTGACCTTTCTATGAGTGATCGCAATATCTGTATCTATAATGCCTGTTCTCAACATAAAGTGAAAGAGCAAAATCAAGATGAAAGTTTTACTATATTGTCCCAATATGTCCTAGCTAGCATTGGCATATACCTAGCTAACAATATCATGCCTTGTTCTACATAGCTGGAAGATATTTAGCTTAAAAGCTCTGTAATCTCACATACCAGTATTTTTTTTTTTGCAGCCATGGTAGCAGCATGCCTCTATGGGTGGCAATGTCACTCTGTCAGGCATTTGGTCAGTCAGTCCACCAGTTTAGTCCAGACTGAAATATCTATTGGATGGACTTGCGTGGATTTTTAAAAAAATATATTCAGACAAAAATTTCAGTTTCAGGCAAAAATGTAAAATCACACTGTGTTAAAAGATGTCGACAAAATGTTGCTAAATAGGGATGTAGCAACCAACTTCTTAAGTGAAACATTGCCTTCCCTGTATGTTAACACAGAGCTGGTTATTACAGGTTAATTGAGAGTACTGAGGAAAATGCTCTTGTTATGGGTTGTTAGGGAGTCATGGTTTTCCCTTAGCCCTAACTTGTCCCTGCCACTCTTTTGCTCATCTCCATCTCCTCTTGCAAGTCAAGAGTTCATGTTGAGCTATCCATCCTAGCCGGAGGGCAGGGTATGGGAGGATTCTCTTTCTATTAGTTAGTTTGTTTTTTTCATCTGGCACCAGGCTTGTCCCAAAATGTCCTCTCTCATTCCTTTGGTTGCCACTCACCCAGTTTCAACAATAAATGCTTTATTCACATCCCTCACCATTACCTGAACTGTACATCCCCTCTCTCTAAAACAAAGCATTCAGTCATGACTCAGTCATATAATCATTATGGCTCCTTAAGTACCTGTGTGGAGAGGAGGAACTGGCAGTCAAAGTTGAGGAATGTGCTTCAATAAAGCTGCCTTTGAATGCTTGCTCAGGAAATGTCATAACAGCAGGCGAAAAAAACAAGACATGGATAGACAGGAGAGATTAGTTTTGCAGCTGCCAGTACACCTGATGGTCGAGCAGAGGGGTCTTTCCTGCTCTGAGGGAAATGGACCATAAAGTCACATCAAGTATCGCAGTAAATCATAGTTTGTTGCCATATCTAATTGTCCAATATGTTATCCAGACGAATAGTAATTCACCTTTATGTTGTGTACAAACTTCACAGCTTAAATTAAAACTCACTACTCTATATTGTTTTATAACTATTAAACATCGCCGTGAAGAAATGAAAAAATGATTATATACCTCTAACTTCCTCTATCTTAGTATCATCTGTAGGCATAGTCTAATATAGCTTATTCCTCTGTACCATAGAGCTCTATTGTCATCCAAAAGCCATTAAAAACAAATAAAAGAACCATACTGTTTCACTGGGTGGCATATTTTTTCATTACAATGAACATGGCAAGTGTAGTTTATTCTAAAACAACCCTGACTGTATTTTCAATCTCTGAGGGGTTAGGTCCATGTTGGGCAGACATCACTGCTCTTAGTTCTTTTATGTGTTTTTAATAGTTTGAAGTTTGGAGTTTAATGGCACAGAGGCATCAGTTATAATAAAAGGATAACATAATGTCAGGCTTGTCCTTAAATGCCCTATGTGGATTTGAGAAATTCTGCTTGGGTGGCTCCAAGTGGTAATATCAAAAAAGACTGCAATGCACATATTTATAGGCTGAAAGCAACTCATAGACTGCACCAATTTCACCTGTCTCATTTTTCTACAAAATAATAATTTAAACTATTTATTCTAACTACTTCTATAATCCATAAAGAAATTCCACACAGAGGCTTCAAAAGGGGCAAACAAAGTGTCATGCTCTAATAGAGTGGCCCTTTATCTGTTCATCTCAACTCTGTTCTCAGTGTCTGTGAGTGACAGACTGTAGACAGCAGAAGGTTGTTAGCCTGACAGACCACAATCACACAGCCCCCCCACCCCCACTAGCACTCTACTTACACAATGCCAGGCCAGCACCCCCTTCAATTAAAGACTGGAACAACAAACCAGACCAGCATCATCCCCCTTTCAACTGCCATACAATTCACATAGGTCTAAGCAAACATACAACCATCTTCAAACACTCAAAAACACACATTTGCCTACTGCAGTGGAATTGAAATTAGGGCGAACTTTGCTTTAGTATAGTTATGTTGATTCAGTCAGTTGTTTTACTCTAAGAAATTGTAGCTCTATATAGATTTATTGCAACTGTACATTCATGCATGTTGCACAATGGCTCACATACACAAAGCGCTGAATATGGTTTAAACATATCTACACACACAGAGAAACATCTTATGAATATTGAACGAGTTTTGAGGGTTCCAACCGAACGCACACTTCTTTGTACTGTGTGTGATTGTTGAATAATTGATCCTCCTCCTTGCAATCTCCATTTGTCAGAATGAACAGTTGTGCTTCTGTGTACCTCTCCAAGAGGAAATACACTTTTCACAGCTACTGCCAGACAGCTCAACAGGCATAGGTGAAATACTGAAGCATGTCTTATTTGTCACAGGGTTAATGTTTTATCTGAATTTATAAAATTTGCATTTAATGTTGAACTGGCATCTTCTATGTCATGATGTTACATCTTTGTTGACAGGTATGAGATCAAGTATGACAAGGACGACTATGTGCTGAGAGTGAAGAAGGCTTCCATTACCGACGAGGGCATGTTCACCTGTGTGGCAGAAAACCGTGTGGGCAAGCTGGAGGCCTCCGCCACTCTCACAGTCAGAGGTATGAAACAGAAATGTGTTGTTTGTTTTTTCACATTAGCTAGCACTTAGCAAAAGCAGAAGTCATGGACCACTGAGGTTATTGTACACCAGTATGAGGTTTAGATTGGCTGTTTACTCCATAGGGTCCCCTGTTATTCAAATGGTTATTCAGAATGCTGACTCCTACAGCCAAGAGAGAGGTAGACAGTCTATGAATCTGTTTAATTATTTACATTTCCAAGTGCAGCGTCGACACAGTCTGCCACCCTCCCCCTGTCGTGGTGGTCTACTAGCCACGCTACCCTCCATCCTGTAACCACCCAGTCAGCAAAGCCATTTCACAGATTACTGGTGCACACCGCCGGTCCCACACCTGGGGTTTGCAAGGTTAATAAAAACATTCTAACCATAATTTTCCCTCTTTTCACCTCTCTTCTTCCCATTAAACCCAAGTGTTTAAGTTATCTGTGGGCCGATTTGAAGCCACAAAGGGGGCCAGAGGGAGGTAAAACAAGGTCTGGGTTGACTTCTCTTTTGACCCTTTTTTGGAAGGTGGATTTTTGAATGTAGCATCTTAGTGTTTTACTTGATTGTTAGGACACATTGGAAACACTAGAGAACAACTACCTGCACCAACCCTTCTGGGTAGAATGTGGGATTTCAGAAAGTCCAGTCTCTGGCTGTAAACCACATGCTGTCTTCACAGTGTTTAAAATCTTGTTTGCTCCCTCTCTCTTGCTCTTGCTCTCTTTTTTCCGCTCTGTCCATCAGCACTAGCAATGAACGCACCCTCGCCTTGCTATTACAGACACACACCACCCATAGAATTGTAGATTTCATTATTGCAAACAGCGAAGGTCCAGTAGTATGTTTGTCTGTGATGAGTAGAACTGGCTGCTATTTGAATGCAATTTTCTGACCACCAGGGGCTGCTCATATCAGACTACCATCATCATTCAGGTGTCTGAGAAACAGAGGCACCGGGCTTATCAGTAAAACTGTCCAGCAGACAAAAGCTACTGGATCCTCTCTGCCATGCTTATCCTGTACCAGAAATGTGTTGGCCCCAACACAACATGTCATTCATTCTGACTTTGATTTCTTTTTGTCTTATTTTATTATGTTTGTTCTGTTCCTTTTTGTTATGTTATGTTTGTGTGTCTGTTTCTTAATTTGTTTCTTTTGTGTATCCACTCCTCCATTGTTGTGTCTCCAGCTCGCCCTGTAGGTAAGTACCCATCCTTCTGATTTGATTCCATCCTGCATGCCCTCTTCTTACACACTGCTGCGTTTGACTGCTTGATAATCAATTACCATTGCTTTAATATTACTGTACTTAACTAACACAGGTGTTACCTCACATTGTGTACACTCAGAATTAATGTTTGCAAATAGTTATGTAGTCTGTGTAGGGCTGGACGATAAAACAAAACCAATAATTATCGCAATATATTTTTTTCAATAACAATATAACAAATGTTCAATAAATATTCAATAAATGTTTGACTTTATTCACTTGAATCATATATGAATTAGGATTTAATTTTTTCATTAAGATTTTTATGTTTTTGAGGAAAAAGGACAGGAAAAAGCTTTTACTTAATTGTACTCTTGCATATTTGATTTTATCATAATTGTTTTGAATGTTCTGCTTCAGATTTGTGAAGTGATCCACTGTTTGGCCTCAGATGTTGCACATAAAGAAGAGTTTAAACCACAATTAAGCATCAGGTTTCTTCAACTTTCACTCAGGAGCAAAAATCAGACTTTAAACTCGAAAGAAATAACGATTTGAAACTTGTCCTGATAATTATTGATAAAGACAAATATTAAACATTTTATTGTGATAACATTTTTGGCCATATCGTCCAGCCCTAAGCCTGTGTAGATTTTTCAGCTCTACCTGGTTTAGTTATGTGAAAATCACTAATGGCCTATTACACCAGCTCTGTCTTTTATGTGTTAATATGATATGTACCCAACCTAATCAATGCAGCCAGCCGCACTTAGTTTGTTTGCAGAAACTTGACAAAATATCCATATATGTTTTGAACTTAATCAATTAAGTGGATAGAATTTGCTTCAAATACATGTCAACAAACTTCATCAGTATCGACGTGACAGCAGTCTAAAAGCTTTGTAATGACTTGTCCAAGTCCATTCTTTTAAGAATCACTTAGTATTTTGTTTAGTTTAACATCAGCTGCAAAGTATACCAAATAATTGTCTTTGCCAAGTGCACATTCTTTTTTGTTTATATTTTTATCATATTTGATCTTGACCAGCAGCTGTTGGAACTGGTATAGGTTTCAGCAACACCTTACAACAGCACAGACTTATCAAGTATAGCAACTCAAAGTTTCTGTTACCAGTTTATCTCTTAAAGACTCTATAGATTCTAGTCCTTTACAATGACTGAGTGGTCTGACAGTCTGATAGTCTCAGACATTGTCATCTCATATGGTCCAAGACATGTTTAACTTGCAAGTATTGAGGCCATCTGTGGATTTTTGGAACACAAAGCTGAGATCTGTTTGTTTTGGACGTGCGTCTTTCCTTCTGAGCCCTACAACACAGAGCATTTAATTTCCCTATAGATGGGGAAAAGGTCATCACAGAATCATCTATGATACATTTAAAATGTTAAATTGTTAGAGTATGTGAGTGAAAATGGGCATCTGGAGAGGAAGTTGCGCTTTCTGAGAGAAGAAACGGGAGCAATACAGGAACAAGAAACATGCGTCAGGACAAAGAAGGGAGAGGAAAATAATGGCAGAAGTGTGTGTCAAGACGGGCTTGACTGGCAGAAAAACCCAGACACTGCCTCAGTGGCAGGACTTTGGTTGCCAAAACAGCAGTGGCTGTTCTATGATTGTCAAACTGTCAGCTTTCAAGAAGATGGAGGAAATTACACATTCACTCTGCCTGTGGGAGAGACAGTAATTGCTGTCGACTTCTGAATAAAATATGATTGAACGTGGGATTTTAAAGGAGGAGGCATTGCTTCTTAGTTTATGTGCCTGGGTGTACTGAATAGATGTCTGCCTCTCTGTCCATTTGTTCTTTTCGCCCTGACTGCTGTTTTTTGAGCCTTCTCCAAACCAGGCAGATGTGACTTGTCATGAATTAAATATGGGCACTTGATTATGTGTTTCCTTAGGAGGGGACAGGAAGGAGCCTCTCACATGTCATTAAGGGTCTCTGAATCAGAAACAGGGCCAGTGTGAGTTAGCCCTGAGCCAAGCCGTGAAACTGTCACACACTGACTTCCTCTTGATTTGTCTGAGTTTTTGATCTATGCGTCTCTTTAGGGCTTCACTTTCCTTTTTTAAGTCAGTCCGCCTAACATTTCCCCTAAGTGTTTTTTTTTTCATTTTCCAGTGTTGTTCAAAAAGATAGAAAGGGAGATTGAAAGTAGTGCCACAGGTATAAAATGAGCCCAAGATTAATCTCAGGCCACCAAGAAAAGCAAGCACAGTCAATGGTTTTGACTAATAGATACTTTATTATGTATATATTTTTTATCAATGGGTCAAACAGTCAAGTGCAGTAGGAAACATTAATTAGGGTATTTTAGTTAAAAAAAGCTTCCACTGATGCCAAATTGTTGGTTACATCAACTTTTCTTTAGTAGGTTGGGTGAAATCTAGCTGAACATTTTTTCTTTGTTGTTTTTCACATCCAGGTGCAAACCACCCATATCACCCATACACGCAAAATCCAATTATAAACTTCAAAAACATTCACGTAACTTATTTCTATTTGACAGTACTTAGCATCATAAATGTGGATATAAGTTGGATAAAATGTTTTCAGTAGACAAAATTGAGTTTGTGTGCTTAAAAGCCAATGAGAACGGGAAAGAAGAAAACACTGATACAGGAGACAATGCATGGACAATGCCAGGCGGTACTATGATAGGGACCAGTCTGTAAGGTGTTAAACCATATTTTTAGCGAGTAGTTAGTAATGCAATGTGTGGGATGGAACAGAGCAGAGGATGTGAAGGGAGGGAACTGAGTCCTTGCCAGAGCATGATTTAGGAGCTCTGTATCAGGTCCAGCATTGTGAGAGCCACAAGATATCCAAGCTGCAGAAGGCCAAATGGGAAGGCAGTAAATCTGTAGCCATCTGTACCATTCCCAACTGTGTGTATCTTTGACAAATACACACCCCCAAAAAGGGATTACATGGAGAAGCCAGCCAAATGGGAAGAGTTTGGCCTTACTAGAACCAGCTGGCTTGTCAGTGGAAGGACTTACAAAGAAACCAAAAGAAACAGAAAGAGTGCAAGATGTTGCATTGCAACAATAAATTTTTTTGTCATATAATTTTACAACAAAGTGTAGAAATCTTTTTAATTTTGTTTGTCTAAAGAAAATGGCCTCCCCTGCCCATTGTCTGCTCTTATTTGAGGTTATTACAGAGACTCTAAGTCTTTATTTTTTTGACTTTCATTATCTCAGCAAGAACCATGTTTCCTCTTGTAAGGACCGTGTCACTGATTTCTTATCTTGACAAACATAGCACGTGTCAACATGGGACTAAAACCCCCAGTGACAGTCATAGAATAAACAAGTAGAGGCAGTGAATTACCGCAGGCCAAAGTTCAGACAGTTTAAGATTTCTAGTTTTGCTGCTGGGATAATTGTGGTAATATTCTGCTGTTGCACCTCTGATTAGCATATGGTAACTGTGTAAGAAATGTGAGTCCAGGTTAGTAGTTCATAAAGAAATGCTATGAAGGATAATGTCTTCCTTGTTTCTATGTATTCTCATCCATATGGAGGATACAGTATTTTTTTATTTGGGATAAAAACTGAATTTTTGAATAAATTGCTCAAATATTAAAATAGTGTTAAGTCAAAGTTTGTCACGGGCAAGGAAACACACTTTATTTCATTATTATCCAAACTATGGAATTATTAATTAATCATTGCTTGTTAATTGTCCCATTAAAAAAAGGGTGAATGTTATAAATGTGAAGACAGGGTGGTGTGAAATCCTGCCTCACTTAACCTTCCATCAGTGATCGGTCAGGGAGTGAAGAGAGACAACACTGCACACCAAAGGACTTGGACCTAATCTCTAAACTCCTCACTCTTCTCCTCTCTCTTTTTGAACTGCATCTGCCATGTTGTCAGTCAGAAATTTCTTACTCTGTCCCGACTGCGAGTGTGTGACAACTGCTCTGGCTCCTCATGGAGTCGTGAATATTGACTCAGAAAGCTTCACACTACCATTTCAAAGTTTGATAGCTTTTCAAGCCTCTACTCTCCCTCTGATGAAGAGGTGTTAGCTTGAAGTGTGGTAAACAGAAATAGTTTTTTTTTTTTTTTCTCCCATTCCCTTTTGGTACAACTTTGATCAGACATATTGAGCCATTTCAGATCTAGACTTTTATATGAGGTGTATTCTGATCCAGACTAAATCCGACATATGGAAAGTTAGATATGATTAACCCTTATATGTCTTCATAGTTTTGGATGTTTCCAGGGCATGGGTGTGCCGTTGTGTTGTCTCAGATCTAAACGCCATTGTGACCAAGGCACTTCCCCGTGTGAATGCCAATGTGACTGTCATTCATTCAGCCTTAGCCGCACCTGGATGAATGGCCAACCTGGTTACCATGGCAATGAAAGTCATTGGTGTACCTCCTCTGTTCAGAGCCATTCAAAAGCAAAATATGGATAAAACGCTGCATGGAAGCTCTTTACGCCACTCCCATTTTATATATTATATTGCTTGTTTTTGCTTGAAATCCCCAAGCTCTAATAATCTCCAACCTTGCTGTTTGGCCTCACTATGTACCACCGGTCTACTAACCATGGTGATTTTGCCCTTCAGCTGCACCTCAGTTTGTCATCCGCCCAAGGGACCAAATTGTGGCTCAAGGCCGCACTGCCACCTTCCCGTGTGAAACCAAAGGAAACCCTCAGCCTGCTGTCTTCTGGCAGAAGGAGGGAAGTCAGGTAAGAGCAAACAATCTCACACAACCCAGTGTGTAGATTTAAAAAAATATGTTTTATTGCTTTTTAGCATTATTTGTTCTATGTTAAAATATAGTGCTATTTTGGCAGATTTTGTTATTTACTGTGTGTCAAATGTAATTAACACTCAACACTTTGTTTGGATTCACCTGGCTGTATACAATTGCTGAGTACATATGATTCTCCTGCCGTGCATATACACACAATACACACAGCACTTCAAACTTTACTATCTGTCATCAGTATCTTTACTACAGACACAGATACACCTTTGTTCTCAGGAGCCGCCAAAACGACAGTGTGCCTGGCAAAGTGCTAATCGGTTTCCTGTGACCCTGCACTGATAAGAATGATCCTATCCCTCACTCAAGTAGATAACCCATTCAAATACCTGGGTGTCCTTACAACACTCAACAACAGTGCCAATTAGGAGCCTGTTGGAGCTTGTAGATGAGCCAGAGATATGATTCAGCTCTGGCTAAGGTTCAAACACACACACACACACACACACACACACACACACACAGATAGCCTGCAGGCCAACAATTACAGCAAAGTTCTCTTAAAAGAGTGAACAGAAGTGTGAGACATGCTTACGTGTTCAGACAAACATTTGGTGTAATGCTCACCCACTTTACCCCTTACCAATGCGTGACCTAAAGTGTATGACTCAGTAACACTGGGTAATGTTGTGAACTTGTTCAGATAGAATAAAAAAATTATATCCAGCGTATCTCACATTGTCATTAAAGATGAGCATTTTGAAATGAATGCACTGCAGCCACTTTTGGACAAACGCCCTCGCCATCTTGGCACTTGTGTTTATCGATGTTTTCTCTGCCTCACCCACACTGTCATATAAACGGTAGGAAGGTATTTGTTGAGAGAACAAAATTGTTAATTCAGTACCGTAATTAAATGATAGAAAGGCCTTTTTCTCACACTGGAGGATAATGGAGTGTACGTCTCTCATGTGTTTGAAAAGCATAGACACTTTTATTATTTATATATTTTTTGCATTAAAGTGATTTGGTGTAATTAAATCCAGCTCATGTATTTGCTGGTTACCTTTGAGTATCATAGGTAAAAAAGAATACAAAAAAGAAAGAGTGACTGAAAGAAGTAGTGGTGATGTTTTGTTAATCTGATCCTGTGTATTTACTCTAAAATATGTGGGACTGATTATCCTCATCCTCTTTAGCTATTCTAAAGATAGATTGTATATTATATTTAGTACAAGCTCAAGTCATATGAGGTGGTCTCTGTGGGTAAAGGAGAAGCTCAAAGCTGCTGTGGAATTGAAGCAGATAGGAAAGTAGTCATGAAGCCAACAAGAGTTGTGGAGCCTCTGGCTTGGCTCAAGAATAAGTATGAAACCAAGTCATCAAACTGTATACACGTTGGGCAGTTTTTCTGTGGTTGGTTAATCAATTGATAGATGAAATTGTTGCTGTTATAGACTGTCTGTGTGTACATGAGTGTGCACAGTATGTGTGAGTATGGCGGTGGTTGGTGTGTGATTGTTTTGTAGGTTTTCTGTTGTACTAGTTCCATGTTCTCAGTAATTGCCCATTTTTTCCTCTTTCTGCAGAATCTACTCTTTCCCAACCAACCCCAGCAGCCCAACAGTCGCTTCTCTGTGTCACCCAGCGGAGACCTCACCATCTCATCTGTGCAGCGGGCAGATGCTGGTTACTATATCTGCCAGGCCCTGACCGTTGCAGGCAGTATCCTCGCCAAGGCTCAACTGGAGGTCACAGATGGTGAGGGAAAACTGACGCGTAACTTCTTCCATGCCAGCACAGAACAGCATACTAGCGCATACCCTTTCACCATTGCAAATGTGGTGAAGCTAGTGCATATGTGTATATTAACACAAATGTATTTTCAATATGCATTTAAAGGAGACCTATTATACTGCCTTTCCAGTCCTATATTGTAGATTTCTTATAAATACTTTAACCCCATTTTTTGAAACTCTGGCCATGTTTCACATGAACATCCAACATTATAACATTGTAGATAAGTAAAATGTGGAAAAGCATAATAGGTCTCCTTTAAACATTTACTTCATGTACCTCTCACAAATTATTATTATTTACACATATACATCTTATATTCCCACCCACGATCTAATGTGTCTAATAAACTTACATATTCAAAGTAGTGATGGGTGTCTATACTGCCTGAATTCTACCAGAAGTAGAACAAGAATGCAGTGATGAAACGCGCTCTGTAGCGACGTTTGTCCGTTTTCAGCTACTGTAGAAACATGACGACGCAACTTGGCAATGTAAGGGGGGACCCGCGGTTATGTAGATATAAATGGCTCATTCTAAGGTAATAAAAACATAACAGTTCATTATGCAAGGTCTTTATACACCACTGAAAACATAGTTATGAATATTATATTTCATTTCTGTTAATAGATCCTCAGAAATATTACACAACAAACCTTTAACATCAGTGACATCTGATTTTAGTTTGCCACGTTTTAACTGTGACACCTCTTTTGCTTTGCCGAGTTTATATGGAAATTTTAAAATTATAATTTTTAGTTACTCAAGGATACATTCAGCTACTGTTTGAGAAATGTCCATATGTCCATGACCTTCAGTAACTGTTATTTTTTAAATTTTTTTTTGCAATACGCTCTTTGTTTAATTTTTCCCCTCACACAATTTAATTAAAATTTTTTGCTTTTCCTTTTGGAAATGAAATAAAGCATTGCCCTTGAGTTCCTTCAAGTTTAATGATCAGCGTTTGGGTGAGTGGGCGAGGTACAAGTATGTGTATGAGGAAGGGAGCAAGAGAAAGAGACACGGGGGGGGGGTATGATTGAGTGAGTGAGTGACTATGGTTTTCTGTGGAATGAATTATGTGGTCCTCTGTGAGGTGCGGGAGCATCTAATCTGCTCAGCTGTTGAGATGGCAAGATAGACGGCCATCCATATGTCTACTGAAGTACCTGCTAGCAGAAAGATTAAAAACACTAAAGAAACACTTTTCTTCTCCAACAATTTGTTTGTAGCAGGAATGCTTCTATTGCACATACAAAACTGGTATGTCCTTCAATTGCCTGGATTAATATATCCCCACATTTTACAGACAAATACTCTTGGCATATCAACAGTTTAATTTGTGTTTACTTTATGTTTTTGGATTTAAATCTGTCGTTTTCTACTGCTTCTACCAAAGGGATGTCAGCAAGACGGGTGTTAGGCAGGTTTAAATGAATAGGAGGCAGGTAAGGAAAGGTTGCAGGAAGGCCATGGTGAGGTCATGGCCACACCTGCTGCAGTCTTTATGTGATTTACTGCCCCGTACCCCGACAACAGTCTGTGGAGTTCAAGGAGATCTGTAATGAGAAATTCCTGATCCAGAGACCCAAGGCTAGTTGAGCCTTGCCTCCTCCCACTGTCACTCCTTCATGCCATCGACACAGACGTCAGGCGCATCAGATCCCTAGACCATGTCATACGCTTGTGCACTTGCTTCTGTCAAAACTATAGCTTATTTTCTTCTCTAAATAAGGCAAGTGTTGGAGTTCTGAGCTTTACTTTAAACATCTATTAACAAACATGGATGCACAACATAATTCAAGCTATTTAGTATTGAAACAAAAGCCTTTATTCAAGCTTAAAATGTTTGTGGTTTTAAATCTTAAAGTGAAAGCAATGGCAGAATGAAACATTTGCGGGTGTGTTTATGAGATAAGATAAAGGGCAGCATAGTGAGTCCCGAGCTAGTAGCAGGTGCTTTGAATCCTCACTTGGCTAAGTTTCTGATTTACATTATCACTTTGAATCCATATGATTGCATTTGCCCTAATATGAACATTCCAGAGGACTAAAATAACAAGTGAAATATCATTATTGAAATTGATGTACGACATTTGGCTTGTGGTAGATAATTTATCAGGTTTCTGCACAGTTATTCTCTTTCTGTCTTCAATGACCCAAAGTGAGGGGTGGCCATAACACAGCAAAAGTGTATGACTTGGAATCACTTCCTTTTGTCAGATGTAGCTGCCAGAGAGAAAATAGGGGTGAAAACAAGGGTGTAATAATGTGTTGAAAGGTTACTGAGGTAGACTTGGTAATTAGCCCCTGCAGGTCTGACATCATTAATCCATACCTTCTAATTAATGTGGGTTCTGTGATGCCAGGGGGACTCCACATTATTCAACTCTAAATATATAAACTGCCTGTGTGTTGGAGTGCTTACTCTCTCTGAGATCACCTCTGACATAGCCACTATTTCATGAAGGAACCCACAGGCTTTTTTTGGCACATTATAACAAATGAATTTGCTCATGTAAATGGAATTCCTCACAGTATTAGCATTCATCTAAAGTGAAAAATAAAAGGGTTGTCTCCTCTTATTATTTGAAGTTAAGATTCAGATACTATTCTTCACTCTGTTTACACCTCATACAAGTATCATCAGGTGGTTTCAGTAACATTTAGTGTTTGAAGTTCACCTTTCATCATGCCACACGCTGCACATAATGAAGTATTTATCTGAACCACACTGAGTCAATAGGCAAGTCTCACCGCTAAACTGTACCACAGAGTCTAGACTAGTGTATAAAAATAAGGCTACCCAGGCAGTAACTGGAAACTGCTTAGCATCCCTCTGCCACATCAATTAAACTAGAAAACACTACTCAGCTGTTCTTTCCCTGCTTCCTGGAAATACAGCATATGACCATTGTTCAGTGGCGCAATTACAAGACCTACAGAGAAAATAGTCTACTTTATGACAGATACCCACATCCACCCCCAGTGCATTTTATGATCAATGCTGTCACTCAGTTTACTTTACAGTCAGATGCTTAATGTTAACACCATCATCCATCTAAACTTCAGAATGATATCGATAATATGTTCACAATTTTGTTTTTGTATCACAGTGCTCACAGACAGGCCACCTCCTATTATTCGGCAAGGCCCGTCCAATCAGACACTTGGGGTAGACAGTGTGGCACTCTTGAAGTGCCAGGCATCAGGAGACCCCATCCCCTCCATCAGCTGGCTGAAGGATGGGGTCAGTCTGCTGGGAAAGGATTCCCGCATGTCCCTGCAGGAACTGGGCAGCCTGCAGATCAAAAACATCAAGGTAAAGGGTTTCATTGGTCTTACTGGTATAAATAACATCTAATGAATTTATGCTTCTGTGCCAATATTATATCATAATAGCTTTGTCCATCACTAGAGTTAACTCTGATTGTCTATTATCAGATCCCTTATTGTTTCACACTTTGTTTTTTTTAGTTGTTTAAGTTGTCAATGCCCTCGATTATGTGTCTTAATTGAATGTTTATTATGTTTATACAGTTACAGTATATGCTTTTGTATGGTCATGCTTGCAACACTGCAGGATTTGAGCTTTTGTAGAATGCAGTAGGATATGGCTTAAGCAGAACTTCGATTAGCAGGGCGTGATGCCTTAAAGAGATGAATAGGCAGCATTGATTTTTTAAATTGTTTGATAGTATCACTTAGTGGCACGCTCCAACCAGGCTCAGCTGTGCAGGGTTGGATGGACTCCAGCTGTCGGATAGAAACATGTATGCACTTACAGATATATACACACACATGTGTACACATGTACACGTTTAGAGTAAATTAAATTTAAGAGGCTCACATCTTCCTTTCCCCACTCGGAGGCCTCAGTGGAATATCTATTACGCTTGACAAAGCTGCCGACCACTGACATGTTATTTAATAAATGGATGGAAAGCACAGGGACAAAAACCAACAAACAACGAAAGTTCCTTTGAGGGATGGAGAGACAAGCCAGCTGTCATCGGTCCAGGGGGTTCCAGCAGCCCACCCTAAATTAATTAGCCTGGCTTTGTTGTGGTCGGCAGGACAGTGGGGAAATAAGGAGGGGGAGTGGAAAAGTGATGGAGGGGTGGTGAGTAGAAAATGGAATTCATTAGTAAATTAGCGTCAGCACTTTGAGGCACTCACAAATGACACACAATTTGGCCAGCAGAAGGCTAGCTCATAAAGTCGCCCCGTCACTTTTCAGCATTTCAGCGATAAGAAGGTCACATGTAGTCAGTCATTGCTAGAGAACCTTTTTGGTAAAGAGTTATTAGTGGAGTTGTTAAAATCTGTGTGTTGAGTGTGTGTTAGTAGGTGTGTTTGTTTTTATTCATACTAAACATGCATATTCTACTGTATACTAGCTTTCAGACTCTGGGATCTACACATGTGTGGCTACCAGCTCCAGTGGTGAAACATCATGGAGTTCATTCTTGGAAGTCAAAGGTACAAGATGGCATAATGATTCCATGTGTTTGTATATGTGGAGGAACAAAAAAAAGTTTTTCGACTAGTCAGTTGTAGTTTTCCTTGCAGAAAGTGGCTTAACTCTGTCTCCTTCTCGTCCTCCATTCAGAATCAGGTGGAGTGATGGTCATGAAAAACCATGATGAGAATGAGCTTCCAGGCCCACCATCTAAACCTCAGGTCACTGATGTCACCAAGAACAGCGTGTCCTTGTCCTGGCAGCCTGGGATGGCTGGAGCATCACCTGTCTCCACTTTTGTCATTGAAGCATTCAGGTTTGTTTTACCAGTAACATCAACCCCTCCCTCATTATTTAAGAGCCTTGGTATGCTATGGATGGCAGGTCTATGTATATGTACCACATTAAAAGACATAATAATGTGAAATCACCATTTTCTCTTGCATTACAGTCAATCAGTGAGCAACAGCTGGCAAACAGTAGCAGATCATATCAAAACCACCCAGTTTACTGTCAAAGGTCTTCGTCCCAACACCATCTATCTGTTCATGGTCCGAGCAGTCAACAGCCAGGGCCTGAGTGATCCAAGCCCCATGTCTGATCCTGTCAGAACACAAGGTACCTAACATTAATAACCAATTAATCAACAAACACATCAAACAAATCCTTTAAATTGACAGCATTTATTGAATGTATGTATAGTTATTTCACCCTCATTATCACTTTCACTGTTGGCATGTGGTTATCCTTTTTTGCTGAATATAATTTCTGCTTCCACTGATAGGGTAAGGTCATTTTGCTCCCCTTCAAAGTGTGATACTTATCGGCCCCTCTCAGCAATCTGCAGTGAATAGCTATATTGAAACACTGCAGAACTTTCCAGAGGTCAAATTCTCCATCTCAGCCCAGCTCATTAAGGCTACACTTAAGCAATTATGTAAAATAAGCATGTCTACTTTTGGAAAGCCTAACTGAGTTAGTTCTATCCCCGCAAAGTTAATGATCTTAACAGGAGAATATGACTCCCTTCAAATCCAAAGAAGATTTGATTATGGTACTAGACAGACCACAGTCTCCAGATTACATAGATATGATAAATCCCCAGCAAAATAAATAAATAAAAAAGCCACCTTTGACCAAGCTCTGCCAAATGCAAGCCGGGAGTGTGTTTTAAAAAAGAGTCCATTTAAATTGCAGCATATCTCTCTCGTACTGAGGTGAAGGTCTTGAGATGATATATAGAGGTGTTTATTGACATGGAATGCATCAATGACAAATTGATTTTTCACTTCTTTCTAACTGTGTTTGGCCTGCCTTGCCCTTTTAGTGTGGCCTGTGATTCATGACTGTGTTGGGTTGTCGGGAAGACGCTTTTTTGAAATATAATTTTCTCTTGGGAGTTTTTTGCCTCCTTTTGTAAATAAATCAAAATGTGGCTCGCTTCAACGACACTCACTATCTCAACGTTGGAGTTTTTATTGCTTGTAACTTGAAACACATGCATGTGCAAAATGGGAAATGAGTTGGAAAATTGTGTCATAGTGTCCATTCATCTCCCATCCACTATGTCTTGGTTCGCACACTCAGAGTTCATTCGTTGATGTGGTTGTTCAGTCAGGCCCCAGCAAGTGCAGACAAGTAACACATCTAAAGAACTTTACCAGCCCTAGTCTGCTTTCTTTTCTCCAAACTAGACAAGTGCCTTAATACAAAATGGAATGAAGTCATTTTAATGCAGATGAAGTTGCCCCTTTAAAATGAAATCGTGATCACCAAGTGCATGCTTCTTTGTTGAAACCGATTAGTCTATTGAGTCACTCTTTTCCCTTTCCGCTTCTGATGGTGATGGAGCAAGATTTTTGTGAGGAACTGAGTGAACTCTATGAAAGCCAAGAGTGGGGAGAGTGGGGAACACTTTTTTGGGGTCCTTTCTCTCTTTTTATCTTTTTTTTTTTTCTTTATCCCTCATAGATATAAGTCCTCCAGCTCAGGGTGTCGACCACAGGCACGTACAGAAGGAGCTTGGTGAGGTCATGGTTCGGTTGCACAACCCAGTTGTCGTGAGTCCCACGACCATTCAAGTCACATGGACGGTAAGTGCAGCTTATCTTTTTGCATACAGAATACAAATGTGTTTAGCTAATGCTACACATACAGCAAGTACATTATTTTCATTTGTTAATGTTAAGTTAAATTGTTTACTCTGGAAGAACTTAAATATGAAAAATTATTCAATTTAAATGCGGTTTATTTTCCCTCTGCATTATTTTTACATATTTGATTTTGTAAAATTGAGCCATATAGTCAAGATAGTTGGTACCAAAGATCCCTCTTTGAAGCAAGCAAGGTGTTCCTTGGGCTACAATTTGTTTTATGTCAGGAAAGTTTAGTCAGGTTGTTCCCTAAGACTGCACCTTTGAAATATTGTAATTGGTGACTTAAAAGTAGCTGAACATGAAATACCTGAGAGCTTGTTTCTTTTAACCACACTGAACATCAAAAAGAAATGTCAGAGACATCTGGTTGTTCATCAATCTTCCGTATATCCTCAGCTGCTTCCCTCTTAAAACAAAGATTTTGAACAGATGGAATTACATTGAAATTAATGTTTGTCAATACAGGTTTTCTTGTTTTTCTACTGCCATGAGATGATGCATTAATCTTCTTTTACATTCATGCATACAAACAGTACAAACACACACCTGCTTTTTCACCATACATTTGACAATTTTATTAAATTTGAAAAATCAAAAACAAACAAAAAAACACCACTGCCTTGGTTAAAATGTTTTTTATTTAATTGTATGGTAATGAGGGCAAGTACACCGCTCACATTTTTGTAAATATTTGATTTTATATTTTCATGTGACAGCATTAAAGTGAAACACACCTTGCTACAATATAAAGTAAATTTGCTGTCCCCTCAAATAACACATCACACTGTTATTAATGTCTAAACCACTGGCAACAAAAGTGAGCACACCCCTAAGTGAAAATGTCCAAAGTGGGCACAAAGTGTCAATATTTTGTGTGGCCACCATTATTTTCCAGCACTTCCTTAACCCTCCTGGGCATGGAGTTCATCAGGGCTTCACAGGTTGCCGCTGGATTCCTCTTTCACTCCTCCATGACGACATCATGTAGCTGGTGGATGTTAGAGACCTTGCGCTCCTCCACCTTCCATTTGATGATGCCCCACAGATGCTCAATAGGATTTAGGTCTGGAGGCATGCGTGGCCAGTCCATCACCTTTACCCTCAGCTTCTTTAGCAAGGCAGTGGTCGTCTTAGAGGTGTTATCATGTTGGAATACTGCCCTGCAGCCCAGTCTCAGAAGGGAGGGAATCATGCTCTGCTTCAATATGTCACAGTACATGTTGGCATTTATGGTTCCCTCAATGAACTGTAGCTCCCCAGTGCCAGCAGCACTCATGCAGCCCCAGACCATGACACTCCAACCACCATGCTTGACTGTAGTCAAGACACACATGTCTTTATACTACTCACCTGGTTGCCTCCACACACCCATGGCACCATCTGAACCAGATAAGTTTATCTTGGTCTCATCAGACCATAGGACATGGTTCCAGTAATCCATATCCTTAGTCTGCTTGTCTTCAGTGAACTGTTTGCAGGCGTTCTTGTGCATCATCTTTGGAAAAGACTTCCTTCTGGGACGACATCCATGCAGACCAATTTGATGCAGTGTGCGGAGTATGGTCACACACTGACAGGCTGACCCCCTATCCCTTCAAACTCTGCAGCAATGCTGGCAGCAATCATACGTCTGTTTCCCAAAGACAACCTCTGGATATGACGCTGAGCACGTACAGTCAACTTCTTTGGTCGACCATGGCAAGGCCTGTTCTGAGTGGAACCTGTCCTGTTAAACTGCTGTATGGTCTTGGCCACTGACCTGCAGCTCAGTTTCAGGGTCTTGGCAATCCTCTTATAGCTCAGGCCATCTTTATGTAGAGCAATAATTCTTTTTTTCAGATCCTCAGGGTGTTATTTGCCATGTTGAACTTCCAGTGACCAGTATGAGGGAGTGTGAGAGTGATAACACCAAATTTAACACAACTGCTCCCCATTCACACCTGAGACCTTGTAACACTGACGTGCCAGCAGTTTAGACATTAATGGCTGTGTGATGTGTTATTTTGAGGGGACAGCAAATTTACACTGTTATACAAGCTGTGCACTCACTACTTTACATTGTAGCAAACTGTAATTTTTTCTGTGATGTCACATGAAAAGATAAAATCAAATATTTACAAAAATGTGAGGGGTGTACTCACTTTTGTGAGATACTGTATGTGCTTTAGTTTGATTGTGGTTCTATAAATCATCAGGTGCTGGTATTTACAGTACATACCTATCACTTAGTGGCATGGGGTGCCTGTTTCCATTTTCAAATGAACCACATTAGCAGTTTTCCTGGTGACATGTTTATTGAACCCTGTAATAAGTCTCACCCCAAGACTTGGTAGCTAATTTAATTCTAAAGCATTGCTTTATGATTGTAATGTACAATCAACACAAAACATGGCTACCTAATCAATCCATTAATGAAAGTGACTCACCAAGCAAGGAATCCATTTTGCTGATTTACTAAGGCTACACTGGCGAAAAACAGCTGCTTAATATCTTACTTGAAAGCCCCACTCACTTCTTCTACTGTTAACAAGCCATTACAATGAGTTATGCACCCACTCCTCCTCTGCATAAATTCAGCTTTTTCTGTCTAGCTAAAAAGCCCCAAGTATTAAGGGAGGGGCTTTGTCGGTTGCAGGGGACTATCACACTTCTAGTCTCTGTCTTTTCTATGGGACAGATCTGCTGTTATCACCTCTGTTGTGTATTCTCCTCATGTCCCCTGGGTGTCCGTATTTGCTGCTACATGCCATTCTCATACTCACAACCCATCTTAGATGTGGTGGGACCTGCTTTGCAGTGTCACTAGTTTAGTATTTATAATACATATGAGACATGCATATGTCCTTTAAGGTGACATTATGGAAAGTCTTTTTAATAGAGGAGGGAACACTTTGGGACTGGGAGCTGGGTGTATGAGGTTATGTCAGGGTGTTAATTGCGCTAACTGTGTCATAGCTGGTGATAAAAAGCCCATTAAACAAGCACGAGCCTCTAAAGTGTCATGAATGCAATCCTGTGAGGAAGAAATACATTGCAGAAAAACATCCTTTGATATTATCTAGTGGTTGGCCCAAGACAGCATCTACCAATCTACTCTGCACAGTTCTTTTTGCACTGAAATGTAACAGTAATCTTGTCTTCATTGACTTTCTCAGGTGGATCGTCAGTCCCAGTTCATCCAGGGTTACAGAGTTCTGTATAGGCAAACGTCAGGACTGCCTTCACCAGGACCCTGGCAGACCCAGGATGTGAAGGTCCCTTCTGAGCGCAGTGTCATCCTCTCTGCACTCAAAAAGGGCATTGTGTATGAGATAAAGGTCCGTCCTTATTTCAACGAGTTTCAAGGCATGGACAGTGAATCCAGGACAGCTCGGACAACAGAGGAAGGTATGAGGAAGAAGAACGTACTGAGTATTAGTAGATTTAGTCAGAAGCAAAACAACATAGTGAGTCAAACTGTGGTGCGTCCACACAAATATGACATGACAGATGACACATGACGCCATAGGCTGCTTTCATGTTGATTTTTGTCATAATATCACAGGCGTCGCTCTCCCTCCCTTTGGAGAATGGAGAGTTTGTGTGTAGATGCATGTGCGTGCATGCAGGTTTGTTTGCCTGACCTTCCTGCTGTGCTGCTTTTGTTTTTGATTGGTGATGTTAGTGCCAGCCTTCTTCTAATCCATCACCCAGCAGCCACAGGCCTGAGCTGTGATTGGACGCAGCACACACATCCTCCTGTGAATATGATCTGTCACCCAAAGCGTGATTCATACAGGCTCTGACACGGCTACAGAGCTGTGTGGCACAAAATCTCACACACACACAGGTCTGTGTTTGGATGAATGTGCTATTTTGACCTATGCCAAAACAGAAATGCATCCTGCAGAACGGCACCAGCCTTGCTTCAACCTTCAAGTCAAACTGAAATTAAATTACAATGTCATCAGAAATAAAGAAAGAAATAAAGACACACAGTGCATGCATACAACAGCACAATGAGACAAATACAGACTCTGCATACTGGAGACAAAGCTCTTCTTGCCACAACATATTTAGGCCTGCATGTATAGGAGACAATTCACCTCCTGTGTGTGGCAGTCCCATTTATTTTCCCTTTCTCACAGCGACCATATCTCCAGCCAGTGTACGCACTGCCATCACATTACAGATGTCGACACACATTCTCACACAGTAAACACATACATTCCAGCACACTACCTCTCCCTAAGGCCTCCAGAACCTGCATGTCCCATTAGCAATCCTGATAACTCTCCCTGCTTCTGCTCTATCTGCATCCCAGTCCCTCAGAGAGCTCGACCACTTTCTATTTCTGTCACAACCGTGCTGCTGTTCCTGGTCATAGCTGATACGCCGTCAAACAAACAGCTGTAGGCTCCTCAGAGACCCTGAGACTACAGAGAAGGGCAGCTAGATGGATAGAGAAGTCTTGTTCAGAGGGTGATTAAAACTTAGTTTGTCCATTAGCTAACAAAATTAGAGAATCCCCATAGCAGGTCCAGACCGATGCATGGTTAGAGTATGCTCAGCGCTCCAATCTTTGTAGTCTCTCTCCGCCTTTTTCACACATTCTCTCACTCTCCATCTGGACAGTCATGTCATGGCTGACAAATGAACTCTGGTTGCCATCTGATTCCCACTGAATGATTGATTAAGGAGGTCCATCTTTTATGCATAATAATGTCTATTTAGGCATTAGTAAAAATGTTGCGTTTGTAAAAGTGTTCATTTGTAGTGTACAAAACTACATCCGCATTGATGGGTATCTCTTGGGAAGGTCCACAGGTGTCCTCCCACACCCACCCACTGCTTTACATTAGCTATTCTTTTTTGTATGGATATTATATGTTTGTATTCCTTCATCATGCAGCATCATGCAGCACATCGCTGTGTGCGCATGAGAAACAGGGGGTTATATTCCTGCCTGCCATACATCACTCCACTAATGGCTCTATTAGCACAGTCCCAGAGGCCTCTAATGAAAAATGTGTATTGTTTAGTATAAATATGCATGATAATAAGCTGCTAAATCATTCATAACATTAACTTTGAATGACATTGTCTCTGATGGCTGCCACACACCAATCCAGCACTTTGTCACCTGGATGTAATGCAGCATTGGAGAGCCTTGAGCATGATGTTTGATCAGATGCTTCCTTGGTTGATTGTTTCTAATCTGGCCAAGGTGTTGAGTTCATCATTGGACCCATTCATCTTCCACCATGCCAGGGCCTTCTGGCTCTCTGGGGACCGGTGTGGCCAATCGTGCTGAGGGATGAGCGCAGATTTACAGGGTGACACGTGCCATTTTGGATGGAGGCGAGGTGAGGGAGAGGCAGCCCAGGAGTAATTGACCTGTCAGTATTCTGCTGTGGTGCCGCTCCCCTGCCAGCTACTGTGGAAATCAGAAAACATTATTTTTAAAATGTTATTTCCAGTTGGGCCAACTGTTATTTATTTTTCCTCTGTTACCCCTTGTGGGGTCAGAAGATTGTTGCCATCAGAATAACAACATAGAGAGTGAGGTTTATGAAAGCTTGGACTTGTCTTGTCTCTATCCACTCTCTGTCTGCCTGTGGATAGAGCCGATTCATTTAGATGTGCCTTACTCTGAAGCTTCCCTCTAATCCTTACCTACTGGCTTTAGTTTCATCTGGCTGATCGATGGAATCAGTCAATATGTTTACTGAGACCTTGTTTCCTTCCCCTGAAATGTATTTTTTTTCATATTTCCTTCTTGTCTGTGCTTCATTCTATAAGCTCGTTGACCTGCACGCCACCCTTGCTCGGTCAGTGTAGGAGTCTTAGCTTGACTGAGAGCACTTGCCTGACTGTGACAGACTGTCATTCCACAAATCAATACCAGTATTTTTCTGTGCAAATCCACCAGGCTGGAGCTAGAGAGGATGATATTTGAAATCATAGTGCAATGTTAAAGATAGGCTATAGCCATGTCAGACCTGCCCTGGTCTTCATGTAAATCCCCCTCTAATTAGACATCTTGACAGCCTTCAGCCACCTGTGCCATCCCTGAAGAATAACATTCCTTGGAAGTGTATGTGTGTGTGTTTTTTCTGTATGTGCACTTGTATATGCACTGTATCGTACATATTTATGAGCTCCTGTTCAAATGTACATTCAGTTGTTCCAATGCTGCTGTGCATCCCAATATTGTTGTTTCTAAGGATTAAATACTCTTCTGCTGCCTTGACTACAGAATAGTGTATTTGATTGTTGACCTGGTTAATTTGTGCCTCTTCTTTCAGCTCCCAGTGCCCCTCCTCAGCAGGTAACAGTCCTCACTGTCGGAAATCAGAACAGCACCTCCATTAGCATCTCCTGGGACCCCCCTCCACCAGACCACCAGAACGGCATCATCCAGGAGTACAAGGTTTGTCCCAGAGTCAGCATGGATTCTCATTTAACTCATACAAAGCCAAATGGAACCAACTGAGTCTCTGTTCTTTCCCCTCTCTGCTTTAGATTTGGTGTCTTGGGAATGAGACACGTTTCCATGTAAATAAGACAGTGGATGCAGCCATACGCTCCGTGGTGGTGGGCGGGCTTCAAGTGGGAGTGGTGTACCGGGTGGAAGTGGCTGCTAGCACAAGTGCAGGGGTTGGAGTCAAGAGTGAACCTCAGTCTATCATCATCGGTAAGAGAACTTTTTAGCATCCAGTTTAAAGTTTTTCTATGTGAATGTCAGTGTTCACAAAGAAAAACAATTTTCAGTGTTAGTAGATTATTTCAGCCAAAGAACCACTAGTGTGATTGTTTTCATTAAGTAGTAGGAATTGCCAAATGGATGATAATGTTAAAATACTATCATTTTGATATGTGGTTTGTACACACATGATTTATGTGGAGCTGAGGCAGATTGTGCCTGATTTGACCCATAACTGATGGCTTGGCCTGTGGCATGTTCTTATTTCCCCAGTGTCACTCACATAATCCATCTCCGAGAGCAGAGCCCCAAGCTTGCAGTTATAATATATTGTCTGTTTGCGTGACTGTGGATGTGCGAATGGGTGTCTGTTCATGTGGTTACACTGTAATAGAGAGATGAGGAGCATTTGTGTAATATTACATGCATGCACATATCATATGTGCTTTATGGGTTTGAATGGTTCCCTTTCAGTGTGTGGGAACATTTGTTTGTGCTCTTATCATGCTCTAAGAAATAGTGTCAAGCAGACTAGTCAGGGTGAGCTGCGATTGGAGATCAATACAGGCCAGGATCCTCTCCTCTCATTTCACATGGTGTGTCTTACCGGCAATGGAGTGAATTAGCGGCTGAGCTAAGCAAACAACCTGTTCACCTGGGGGTTTGTTATAAGCTTTTGGCTTTGTCTTTTTTCAGTCTGTACATTATGTTTCACTACACATGCTTTAGATCTATGTCTGGCTCCCCTGGTCAATATCTCAGCTGAAATCACAGCTACTTTCTTTGAGCTTAATCTTAAGAATCTTTGAGTCTAAAGCCCTTACCCTGCCTCGATATGTCTATAGGTGTTTCTTCTGCACAGTGAAAAAGTGTAACATTCTCAAGCCCTACTGTATTACATGGTTGATTGTGTTAACTTTCACCTTGAAGCAACAAATCATGCACACATCAGTGTTGGTTGTTGTTTTTCTCCAGTAATCATCCACCCAGCATCACATTCATGTTTATCCCCTGCCCACAGGTAAGGAGTTCCGGGACGTGATTATACATGGTAACCGTAACAACAGCATCACAGAGCAGATCACTGATGTGGTGAAACAGCCTGCCTTTATCGCCGGTATTGGAGGGGCCTGCTGGGTCATCCTCATGGGCTTCAGCATCTGGCTCTACTGGAGGAGAAAGAAGAGAAAGGGCCTAAGCAACTATGCAGGTTAGACATAGTCTTATAGTCACCCATGCAAATTTATACTGAGATTCTGCTCTTGTGCCTTAGCAAACATTCTTCTACCATTCATTAAATAATATATTTTGTTATCTGTCAAAGAATTAAAGCAGTAATTTAACACTACATTAACATCTTTCAGTCCTAACCAGTGCAGTTTCGATGAAGACGTTGCTAGCAGTGACATTGAGATGGCTATGGTGTTAAAGCTCAACAGGGAGACAGATGTCAGTGTGAATCATTTTCAGAGGGCTACAGTTTTTGACAAATCCACCCACGGCGTTGGTTAATAGCCCAGAGTGGTCGAGCTGAGTGGGTAGACTGGACTTTCTGCTGGTCACTGAAGCTGGAGTTTGTCCAGCTCTCCTCCCACACATTGACCCTGACATCTTGCTGAGTGACCCCCAGTCAATACTTGCAACCACATACACTGCCAAGGGTACAAGATTTAATTAGAGAGCAGAAAATGGTAATGAACTGACACATTAGTGCTGCAGTCGGTGCAACAAAATATTCATTAGTTCTTGCCTTATTAACAAGCAGGAATTCAAGATATCCATATATTTATGTAGCCTTTTTTTTCTTATTATTTTTAGCCCGTCAAACAGCGCATGTACAGTGGCAGCTGCTATAAGCTTGTTTGGTTCATTTGCTCTTCATTTGTGTTTGTTGCATTTATGTGTTTGTGCGTTTTCTTTGGTTTGTGCCACTGTCTGGACACCTCTGTGACAAGAGGCCAAGCTGGCTGCTTTTCTGGCTGTTGCTCTGCACACAAGATGCCGATGCGGTCTTATAATATCTGACCCTCAGCACCTCACATCTTGACCTCGTACCCAGTGTGCAGATACCCCTAAAGCACCGCTTTTCTCTGCAGGCTTTTAACACACAACTTCTCTGTCTTCTTGTTTTGCAGTTCAGTCCTTCACCTTCACCCCTGCAGGTACTGTTCATTTGTCCCGTCTTTTCACCCCACCTCAACGCAGATTCATCTCCTGCCCGCTTATAGTATATACGCTTAGATTGTCAGACTGATGGTCATGGCTAATGCAAATCCAAAATTCACAACCGTGACGACAATTCAACCAACAAGAGAAGCCAATTTCATTCAAAGGAATCTATATTTGCTATTGGCCATGATCAGAGCCTTGCAAACTTAAGCCCTTATTCCGGCCAAACCTACAGCGTTATTTACGTATTGTGTCGTATTTGTGTATATGTCTCTTGTGGTTACCAGTTTTTGAATGAAGGTCCATCCTGTCTCCTGTATCTTTTTTTTGTGGCAGTGTTGCAGTGCGGGATGAGATAATTTTTTCTCTTCCACCAATAATCTTTATCATCTTTGTTTTCTTTTTAAGACTCAGATCAGGTTTACATATCTGTTCTCCATGGATGTCAGTTATCCAGCTGGTGTATTTGATCGCGCCCCCCGCTTTTCCTTACATTTAACTTTTGTGTTCTTTACTTATGATAATTTCCCCGACTTTTCTAGTTATACATATTTGACTACATTGTCACCATCTGTCCCCTGCTGAATTAAGCCTTTCTGTGGATGGAGTGGACTGAGAGAAGAGTAGCCTGTCAAAGAGAGTGTCAAGAGAAAGTTAAAAAAGAAGTAAAAGATCAAAAGGCAATACAAATTAATATGAAATGTATCCCTAGAATCCTCTATACTGTACAGTATCAGTATATCTTATCGAGTCAGGCGTCAGTGCCCTCCCCTCTGTTTCCTGGATTTACTGTCAATCTTAACTAATACATTTTTTTGGTCAAGCAGCATGTGGTCCCTGTGGAGCCTACAACCAAAAACCTAATTTACTCTGGCCTTTTCTACAGCAGCTGTACAGAGAACAGATTATGGAACACATTAATATGTTTTTGAAACTTGTCTTTGGCTTTAAAATTGGAAGCAGACCTCAGAGAAACCAGAGAGGAAGCAGGTTATTTCACTAAAAGAGTTTTAAGTGGCAAGCACAAAACAAGGTCACATATAGCAGAGATTACAGAGTTAGAGCGAGGTGATATTTAGAACATGAGCCAGAGTGTGGCTGAAGTGTCTTACAGTGCTGCTCTTCTCTGTATTGACAATTAGTTGATGTATCGAGAGTGTCCTGTCTCAGCCTCTTAAAGCTGTCAGTACAGTAGAGGTAAATCACTACACTGTTGAGGCACACGGCCAGCAAGAAGGAGATTTGATGGAATTTTTATACACTGATTATGTCCACCCCCTCCCCCCCTTAATGCTTATTAAAGGGGATTAATCTGTATTCATATTGGAGAAAGTGCTTATCTGGAAGAAGGCGAGAAGCACAGCTATGCCGCCATGTCACTCTGGCTAACATAAAAGTGTTCCACAGCAGCCCAGAAATGTGCCTGTGCACAGATAGTGACTTCAGAGGCTTTCCCGCTGCACAGCCTCCCCCTCTCTTCCACCTTCTTTTCCTGTCAGTCCTCACTCAAACGACAGAGAGTTCTCTTATGCAAGTTTGTTGGTGGTGGAACAAAGAGAAATGGCTTTAGCTATGACTGAAAAAGGTTTGCCAACTCTGTCAAAGCTATATTTATTTGGGCAGACATACAATGTTGGTTTTATCTGGGTAAAACATTTATTGATAGTAAGTATTTTAATTCCACCTGCTGCTATTCAGTTGCATAAACCTTAATGCAGTAAATAAACTATCAACTGTTCCAACATGGATACTAGACATGTTTTAAATTGTGCTAAAAATCCTAAAATCCTGTTCATGAGATAGAAAAATGGATTAAATGAGCTTAGGTAATGTTGATGATGCATTAAAATGTTAGCAACCTCTGTAATCTATGTGGGAGTTTCCTCTCCCTGTCATCTGCGTTACTACGTCACCCACAGAAAAGCCCCCTCTCTCGCCTCTGCCTGGGCTTGTTGTGGAATCAACAAGAAAAGAGAAGAGGAATGTTCAGCCTCCTCCTCTCTTTAATCTCCATGTGTGGAACAAATGAGCCAAATTACTAACGGCACTCCTCTCTTGAGTAAACCAGCTCTCTTTTTTCCCCCTTCCTCTCTCCCCCCCCTCATCGGTATGCGGGGAGTTCCAAAACTCTTGCTTCTGTGTTTCCTGTGATCCACTGAAGTTCTTACATGCTTTAGAACTCTCGATGCTGCTTTGTCATCATGGTAGTTGAACAGAGATGAAATGGATCCTTCACAGCCGTCTCTCACTTTGAGCCATGGAGTTTTACTAGCCGCTGACAAAGAGCAGCCCTTGTTATCTATAGATCACCGTAATGGAACAGGCCACATGGCTTCTGGGGAGCCCCGCTTGCTGGAGGATAAGTAACTCAGCCTCCGTGCTTGCAGATAGAAAACTCAATGTGATTAATGAACCCTTTGCCTTTTCTAATCATTTTTTGGCTGAGATTTAATCAGAAATCTGATAATAACTCAGCAGCAAAATAAGAAAGATGAAATGAGTTTTGTCTCTCATCAGGCATCTTGTCCTTGAGGAACACATGACGTCTCCACTTATGCAAAGCAATATGCAATCCTCATCATGCACTTTTTTTTTTTTAATTTTCATGAAAGACATTGGACGCAGAGGGGCATCTGCATCCCTTAGCGAATCCATCAGCTAGTGTTAGAAAAAGTGAACAGATTAATACAACTGTTGAAGCACAAGGGCAAACTGGACAATACTGAAAAGATATTGTATTCTGTCTCAATTTTGGAATTAAATCCTAGTTGTTTACTATGTATTATACTAGAGATACTTAATCTTTGGCTTTATCTTTTTTCCCCTCAATCCTTTTCCTATTTCTTTCTTTCCTGACTTTAGTGACATTCCAGAGAGTTGATGGTGGTCTGATGAGCAATGGAAGGTGAGTGTCCCACCAGGAACAAAACAGCAATCAGTATTTGAGTGCAATATCACAAGCAAATTTAAAAAATCTTCCTGTCATCATTATTTCATTCTCTGTCCTAAGTTTTACGTGTAGTAACACAACCTTTCCTTCACAATGATGCATTAAGTCTACAGCAAGCTGCTTTTGATTCTAACACTGATAAATGATTGATAGATTGATAGATAACCAATACCTGTTTGTGTGCCTGCCATGCAAACTGGCGTGCAAATATACATTTCTACCACATCTCCGTTCATGCATCGATAGATGAACTCATAAATCTCCTCAACAGAATTAACAGAAACAATTTAAGCAGAGAGTGCTTTTATTTTGTCATTTATCTTCCGCTGCTGGCTACAGGCAACCCAGAAGCCCTCTGGAGTGATAAATTTGCCTGTCACCTTGCGTGGGCGGCTGGGATCTGAGCACATGTAATAATGTAAAAATAATTACCCAGGGGAGACATGTGTGGAGGTACCCCACTTGCACCCCCATATAGCCTGCTCCATTTCAGTGTGTGTTGGTGAAAGAGAGAGGGGCTACAGAGAATAGGGCACATCTCAATGACACCAGTTACTGAGTCTTTGTGGGTATTTAAGAGACTCCCTTGAGAATCGTGGGCTTCTGTCTATCTACTGCTTATCACACCTGACTAGGTAAAGCCTCCAGACCTGAAACACTCAGCAATGAGATTGCCAACTGAATCTGACCCTGTGTGTCTCTGGGCTTTTGGGAATGTGTCTGTTCTGCAGTCTGGTTGTGGAATTTCTATTTTAACGCTTTTTTTCCTGCCCTTAAAGCGTGCGTATGACTGGATGCCACAATGGACAATTTTGCCTATATTGTTCCGTGAGCTGCACGCATGCTCTCAATGAATTAGCCACGCCACTTGCTGTGCTTTTTCTCATCTACTTTCTGCTGTAGTGTTTTTCCTTCAATTTTCCACGTAAGTGGTTCTGATTCTCACACCAGCGAATGGGATTTGAAATGTCTGTATTTGTGCTGCTCTATATTTGTCATAACTTTAGTCAGTGGCGGCGACTGCCACAGTTTTCACAAGACTGGAATTGGATGCAGTTTGGAACTCTTATTCTAGCACAATCCTCTGATCCGTTAGTCACTCCAGTGCTATCAAATCCCAGATGTTACAATTGCCCATCTGCCCTGAGAGTGAAAATGTGTAGCAAAGAATCAGAGGAAAATGTGTTCATTTGTTACATGAGATGTTTATTGCATTAATTAGACAATAGCAAATGAAGCCGCATCTGTTTCCAGTTTCTCATTGGCTCCTGCCAAATTGCCCTGAATGAACAATTACACTTAATCGATCACAAAATAAATGATTCATGGAAGATGAATAGGTTGCAGATTGGTAGACCTGGACAATTTGACTTTGGCTGCTCAATTGAAATTGATAAAAGCCAATATGGGCTCATTCTTTATCCCCCTGCCAATAGGGAGATGGTAATTAGTAGGTAGTAATAACTTCCTATCTTGACACTGATCAATATTATAGCAAAGCAGATTCATTCCTATAGGCGAGGAGAATGTGCTGGGCATTGCAGAGAACAGGTTTCACTAACCCTGTTGCTATGGAGATTCCTTTACATCCCGGAATATGAATGCTAAATTACAGCGTGTTCCCTGAGTGTTGTGCTACAAAGGAATCTGTGTTTCCCATTGCTCTAAGTGTTAGCTAATGTCTAGACTTCCAAGTTCCATTCACTAGTCTGTGAGACATAAACACCTGATTTATGAAGTTGCTTTGGAATTAATATCCCTCACTTGGCTTATTTATGGGAAGCTCAGTGTCAGGCATCTTAGGCAGTATTTATGATTTCCTACCCATCACAAGTAACTGAAATGTCTGACAGCAAGAGGAAATGCTCCAAAGCAAATTTTATCTGCCAAGGTTGCAATCCATCCTACGTTGGGCAGGGATTAAAAGTTAGGTGTTGACTTTTCATTAAACGTATGACCATGTGTCCACCCCCTGCCTACCCACCAGCTAACACACACACACACATATATATACACATATATATATATATATATATATATATATATATATATATATATATATCTCACAAATATCCCCAGTAGAAATCAGTCTTATTCTAATTGGCTTCAGCAGGAATGCTGCAGTGTGATAAATACAAGGACGATGCAGTCATTTCCACTGTCAGCTCCTTGTCTTTCAAATGGTCTTTCTCTAGTGGGCTGGGGGGAGGACTCACTGGAGCACACAGGACAAGTGGGACAAGTAATGAGTCAAAGGCATGGCCTTTTATTTTAGACAGTGTACATTTGTGGTGGAGTCTTGCTGGAGTCAACAAAAGAGAACAATGTCCTTTTCGTTTTCAGCTTCTTAAATGTTTCAGTCTGACAGATGCTAAGCGCACAATAGGCAGGGAGGAGGAATAGAAAGAGAAGGTGAATGTGTATGAGGGGAAAATAAAGGAAAATAAGGTTAGGGAAAGATGGTATGGCAAGAGAGAATGATGGCAGTGGGAGAACATGGCAGCCAGAAACAGAGGTAGGAAGGACGGGGGGAGATGTATTACCCTATAAAAGTGCATCTGTCTGATGCACAGCCATCAATTTGAATGACTTGTCTCCCCCGAGGGCCTGTTTTGGCATTCAGGAACCACAGCGAAGGCCCTTAGCTTGCCAGGGTTGCAGTTCATTGGACTCCCCCCTCTGTGGAACAGGTCTTCTCATTAGAACTTGTGGCTGAGGGAGAGACTGACTGCAGCACACCCATTACCTGCCTTTGTCCTCGGGGCTTGACTCTCTCCCAGTCCCTCAGAGCCAACACATCACCTCACTGGAGCTAAGACAAAAAACCCTATCAGGCAGCCTTGCTGCTAACTACTGTGCTCCACAGCTTCTCAGAGTGCACATGTGTATCTGTAGTCTGCTACATGCAGCACTGCCGGGCACTGACAGCGGGGTGTGCTGTGTTTCTGAGAAGGCAGTGTCATCCCCTTCATCACATGCGGTGCTTATCTGACCAATCCAGGATATGATTTCTCATGGAAAAAATGTAGAAAAGAGACCCTCAGCAAAATACTAATTATATTTGTGTTGTGTTTATATCTGCTTAAAATGTGTTTTTTTGTATCCTTTCTCTACTGAAGTAAACTAGTGTTTATACACTCCTATATTTTCTTTAATCCATTTCAATACATATTCAATGGAAGAAGGTAGGGTATGATGTATCAATGACACATTAACAAAGACATTTAACTCAATCTCTCATTCTCATTTAACTCCATCTGTGTTACCCATGGTAACGAGCCTCAAACGTGATTGTACAGTAAAGTGGCCCTAATGGCCTCCCAGCAGTCACCCATGACAGGTTAAAGTCTTAATAGCTGCTTTTTATGGTTCTCGCCCCCTCAGGAGGGACACAACACCTGTTAAATGAAGCTGCCCTCTCCCATATGCAGGCATCCCACAAGTGGGTCGGGGCATCATGGTGGGGCGAGGGCCGAGGTTTGACGTCTCATCAAATAAGATTTAGACTGTCTGGACATCACCACAAGGGGTTGATGGGAAAACACAGCAGAATGTATAAAAATATTAATGAATAAGAAAGCGTATACATGTGGGTGCCCGCATGCACTGCTGCACATGTGTGTGGAGAGCAAATTCATGAATTAGTGTCTTCACGGTGTGCTTTTGCATTAATAACTCAGGGAATGTGACAAAGACACAGCAGGAGAAACAGAGAGATAAAGGGCTGTGTTTGCCTGAAGGAATTCCAACTTTGTGGGGGAAGAAATGTATCCGTACAGTACCCCCCCTCCCCCATCTCAGAAGTGTTTCATTAGCTTCAGTGGCTTATGGCAAGCTTATCTCACACAAACACATATTCTTTTTCAGAAACTAACATTTAAACATATGTCTGATTTGATTGTCTTCACATTGTCTCTATGCTGATTGCTGTCTTGCTTTTCATTCATTATTTCTGAATCCAGTAACATAATGCATAATTAAACCGTGCATACTAAGTAATTGGAGATGTTTTTTTTGTTCAAAAATCTCTGGCATCAATGTAATTCAAAGCCTATTTTTAATCCAGTGTTTCATCCCGTGTTTCTGCCTAGCCGGCCAGGCCTGCTGAACGCCAGTGACCCAGGTTACCCCTGGTTAGCGGACTCTTGGCCAGCCACCAGCTTGCCTGTGAACAGCAGCTCCGGGGGACCCAATGACCTGAGTAACTTTGGCCGAGGAGGTGAGTGCCCTGGTGCGGTCCCAGGTGCTTTGAGAAAGAGACCATAAGAGATGAAAGATGATGGCCTCCCTTCCATTATATTGAGTTGTTCATCATGTACATTTATGCATGCATGATGTATACATATATGCATATTACGCATTGGGTATTTATTTATATATCACATCAGAGGACAGCTAGAACATTAACAGCAGTGCCTCTTCTGTCACCAAACTGAGTAATGGCAAATAGCCCAGGCTGGTGTCATAGCCCATACCTCAGAGCAAGAGTATGTGAGGGGAGAGACGGGCAGAGGAGCAGGGGGTGGATGGGTGTTTGAAAGGATGGTCTTGAGCAGCCAGTCGTGAAGGACAGGCACAGCTTGACTGGCGCAGATGCGGACACTTCCGCCATGGCTCTACATCATCTCCCCTTCACTGGGCATGCAAACCACGGAGAGAGTCTGCTTGCTCTTTCTGTAGCGCGCGCTCTCTCTCTCTTCCTCTGTCATCACACAAATACAGAGCAGCAGTATTATCCCCCATGTATATGAATAGAGAAGGGAGGGGAGTAAGATATCCACACATGTGGAGGGGAAACGGGGCACCACAACTGGAAGGCTGAGAGAAGGGATGCATGAATAACTGGAATGAAATTCTTGAATGAGGTGATCTTGTTCAGTGCTGTTTCTTAAAATGTGAACTGACCTGAATGCATGAAGGCCCAGACTGTAATTCCCTAACCCTCCAGTACCACATGCCCTTGAATCCCAGGTCATTCAAGGCCTGATGCAGGGGGATGGTCATCTTCTCTTTATCTGCCATAAAAACCAGACGACCAGAAGTTTTTATTTAAATACTCCAGGGTTACAGTTAAGCTGGACATTTCTTTTAAAGAACAGCTATCCTGAAACTCCCTCCCTTTGTCTTTTTTTTGTCCAGATCTCCCCACCGGGCAAGGGGATAAGACAGGCACCATGCTCTCTGATGGAGCCATCTATAGCAGCATAGACTTCACCACCAAAGCCAACTACAACAGCCCTGGCCAAACATCCCAGGCCACTCCTTATGCCACCACCCAGATTCTCCACTCCAGCAGCATCCATGAGCTGGCTGTGGACCTGCCCGAGGCCCAGTGGAAGGCCTCACTCCAGGCCAAGCAGGAGATGGCTAACCTCGGGTACTCCCTGCCCGACAAGAACTCTTGCAACAACAGTAAGTTAAGTGGGTGTCCTAATGGCAATTTGCGGGTATGTCTTTACCCCTATGTGGGAGGTTCCGCAAGTGTTTATAGTGTATCTGATCCTTTGACATCAAAAACCAGATTAATTAATCCAGATCACAAACCACAAATGTACAGTTGTAACAAGTTCGCCATTGGGAATTTAAACGTTTCCACCAAAAGTATCTGAAGCCTTTCCAAACCTACTGTGGTTAGAGGAGGTTGTCTTAAAAATAGTAATTTTTTCCCCAGCAGACATCATCTTGGTTACTATCCAAGGTTGAATAAACATCTCATGAAGAAGTAATGCATAGTGCAATAGAGCCCATCCATCCATTTTCTTGCTGGGTTTTCATGATGGTACCACTCCTCCTTCAGTTTCAGAGTAATTGCCAATCCATTTTAGCTTGACTAATATTTAAGAAAATAATCCAAATTAATTACCCTGGATTTGATGCAGGATTTTGTAAAGCCGAGTGGAGTTTCATACTTAAGGTGTAATGAGTATTCCGTGGCTGTATTCTAATACATATTTATGATCTCATTTTCCAACAGTCTAAAACAGATTAATTATAGTTTTCACATAGTCCCTTTAATGCAATGAATCTTTAAAAACTACTTTTTTAATTCTCCCTGGCATTAGTTTTAAAAATATGATCACATATGATTATGGATGATTATATCTCTCTGAAGGGGGACAAATATTGAATTAAAACCTCTGCTAATTGACTCATTTATCCAGTTTTATGAATTGAAAAGAGTTTTGTGAAAGATTAGCGTTATGTTTCTCAAATCAACAACAAATCAAATTTGTCCAGCGAATACATGCCTGTAGCATACAAATCTGTAGTGAATGAAAGGTGAATAAGTGCATTTTGTTGAATGTATGAATCCTGATTATTCCTGCTTGCTCAATGCTCTAACTGCATGTTTGCATGTGCTTGTGCTAACTGCCAATCACCTGATGCCACTGTAATTTTTGCCCTTTAACCCCACTGTAGCCCTCCTTTTCATTCCTGACTACCGATTGGCCGAAGGATTGTCTAATAGAATACCACACAACCAATCACAAGATTTCAGCACCACCAGCTCTCACAACAGCTCAGAACGAAGCGGCAGTCTCTCAGGTTGGTTTACGCAGCAGAGAATCTTATAAAGCAAACTGGGACATCTCTGGGGCTCTGCCGCTCGGCTTTATGATTGACTGATGTCTTAATTGCTTTATTGATCTATTTGCATGTACTAACCTGACGTCTACAAATTTCTTTATTAACACAGTCCCTCTCCCTCACCAGAGACTCTTTGCTCACTCAGCACCCACTGCTTACAGTTCATTAAATGTGAATGCTTTAAAGTATTTTTTAGTTATACAGGGTTTTGAGTACAAAAGCTGCTACTGTATGTAGCCTTGTTGTGATATTCAATAGGAGTCGACAGCTTACTGGAGCGTAAAGAAACAGGACATTTAAATCAGAGAGAAAGAATAGTACCATGATCTCCCAACAAGATATGGCAGCAAGTGCTAATGCTGGGTTTCTGCCGTCACTGCCGGTCCTTGTAAAGGCTTTGTCTCTCACTGTGTGATTGAGCAGACGGGAATAGGGGCAGAGGGAGTCTTTCAGACAGACTGGACTGTATACACATACACACACACCATTAGAGATGCTTGGCTGGATAAAGTGGCAAAAATACCTCCCTTTTTCCCTCTTCCCCTAATGGTGGCTGACTACACTAAAACCCATGTTCGGAGAATTACAATGTCATTTATAGGACACCACAGCAGCCCTCTGCCTGCCTCCCCTCCACTGTCCTCTTTTATCTAGTTACAAGCCACTGCCCTAACTGGTCTCTAATTCAATGCTCTGGCACACAGTGGGCTGGAGAGAAGGATGTGAAGTAGCCATGCCTTATAGGCAGATTCTTCACCATAGACACACGGGTTACTTAGGGCTCAGACTGGGCTTGCTATATTATAATTTCATGAGATGAGAGTAACAGTATCCACCGTATGATAGATGCACAGTATGTATAGTATGATATATAGATATATATGTGTGTGTGTGTGTGTGTGTATATATATATAGAGAGAGAGAGAGAGAGAGAGAGAGAGAGAGATCTCTCTCTCTCTCTCTCTCTCTCTCTCTATATATATATATATATATATATATATATATATGACAGAATATGCTTTGATGATTAGGTTTACAATTTTTAATTAAACAAATACAATGTACTGTACAAATTGGTGTGCTACGGAGGTGCTGGTAGGTGGATTTTACCTGTGAATAGAGCCCAACTAGCTGGTTACCCCTGCTTCCAGTCTTTATGCTAAGCTAAGCTAACTGGTTGCATGCTGTAGTTTCATATTTAACAGACAGACATGAGTGTGGTGTTGATCTTCTCATCTAACTCTTGGCAAGACAGTGACTAACTATATTTCCAAATATGTTGGCCTATTTCTTTAAGTTAAGTAAAAGGAAAGAATATAGGTGAATATGGATATTGGGAGGGAGGCGGATGAATGTCATTTGATATACAGTAACAAATATATTGTTTTAGGAATTTACATTGGATGGTGTCCTTCCACTTACCCTTACATAGTAACCAATGGAAAAATATAAGATTAGGTAGAGGAATGTGTACTGTATAATGTAGGCAGGTACGTATCTCCGGAAGTTAGACGAACAGCTTTGCACGATTAATGGTAAAATTTAAATATCTAAATATGATGAAAGAGATCATAAGTATAGTGTTAATGATTATGGTCTAAAGTGAAGTCAGAAGTTGCAACTAATTTGACCCATTATATTAGCTAAAATGAGTTTCTGACTGTATATGTCTGCTGTATAGTATATACTGTGCACTGTATTCTACATCTCACAAAAGTGATGGAAATTTTAATCAGCATAAGTTAAGATTTGATTCAGACTTCAACCAAAGTATACTCAGCGTGTGTGTGTGTCTGTGTGTGTGTGTGTTGGGGGGCACTGGAGGTGCCTTGCGCCTCCTCTAAGGAGATGGAAGGAATAATGAATGTCAGGTCTGAAGGAGGAGAGCAGGATGAAACGGAACAGAAATAGAGCTGCTTTTATGGCAGCATGGATCTCCACTGGGGGACATGAAGCTGCTCATTAAAACATTTCTTAGTGTAGGGGAAAATAGGTAGCTTGTGTTTTCTGTAGCAGTTTGAGACCTTGAAGATTTCCTTACTCCCCTCACACTCTGTGAAGCTGCTAAGTCCATGAATATTTGAAGTTCATGGTTGTGTGTGACACTCGCTTTGTTGCTTCTCACCTCATTATATAACATTTTTTACTACTACAACTAATCAAAACAATGATTCATGACTTTCAGTTGTTTTGATGTCTTTTGTGAAATGATTCTTTCAATCTTAAGTTATATCCGGCTTCATAGCCTTTCTAGAGTCTCTGCTCTGTGGCTTTGCCCTTCAGCACTGACGCACCCAATGTAAACAAAGCAAGCTCAAGGCTATGCAGCCCTACAGTTATAGGCTGGGAGCGCCCAAACCTTGGGTATAAATACCCAACGCTGAATCTATATTTAGGATGAGTTTCCCTTTGAAGAGAGGCCCATTTTGTCAGAGGAGATGGGTTTGCTGTGTAGCTCCTAGCCACAGCTTCTCTCTGTATTTTTCATTTTTGGGGTGAGCTGTTGTAATTCCAGTGCCAGACCATCCTTCCCTAGAAGAGGCTCATTTACAATATTGATGGTTGGTGTTGTGTGAAGGGACTAAGGATGATTGAACAATCACATCAGCTCACCATTTATTGGTAAAAGTCAAGCGTCGCCCAAAGGTACGATTAGGAAACCCAATTACTTTCAGACTATACTTACACTGTGGTGCCGTCTGCCTTGGGCTTACAGTTGTATCTTTTATTACTTCAATTCTTTATTAATCTCATTCTGACACCTCTTCTATCTCCTCATGCCTGATATTTCCTCTCCTGCCCAAGCATTTTTAACATGCTCGTCTTTGAAGTGCTTTTGTTTTTCTTGCTGGTGAAGGATTTATAATAGTAACATTATCAGAATTTTCTAGACTTAAAACACTTAAAACAAACACAACAGATTGTACCTCATTGCATCTGTGCGTTTCTTTCGATGACAGCGATCTTCTTTTTACTGCGCCTGAGTCATGTCAGTTTATTAGATTACATTGGAGTGCATGATGTTACATTGCAGAGATGCAATATTGGCAGCTTTTTTGTGGCACTGGGAAAAGTGATTACAGGCCTTTGGCAGCAGAGGCAAACCAACAGATAACAGATGTGTTACACAGACTTTCCCAAAGATGGCTTTCACTAGTCTGTGTGTCTAGTGACGTCAGTTTGAGGTATTTCCTGGATTGAGATTAAAGGTGTTTACTGATAGAGAGGCACTTCAGCCCACCACAAATGGATTTATATATGCAAATAGTGTTCAGTATGCCTCCCTACTCCCTTCCATATGCACAATCTAAGAAGCATGACAGAAAAGTTATATATTAATAAACCTCCAGGCTCAGAAATTCATGGTATAGGATGGGATTACATGGACTCGATCATGGCGATGCTATACAGTGTGTGATAAACTTGATAGATTTTGTGAGGCAATATAGGATGCAATTTAACCAAAACCTGTGTCAATCATGTCTTGATTGTACATGCAGTCATTTTAACATCTGTCATGACGAAAAATAGACTGTGTACTGAATCAATGTATTGTACCCTTATCTAAGCATTATAAAAGGATCCACTCAACATTTTTTAGAAATATTTAAGAAACATTTGAAAATCATTATTTGGCACGTTTAGTCAATCTTGACTGTTGCTTGTATTCACAGAGGTAAAAAAAGAAAGGTTTGTACCCAAGTTCTTTTGGAGCGAAGATGATTGAGTCATAAATTCACTCATAAATATGCAAACTTAATATTGTATCTACAATTACAATAAACTTTCTCATCTCAACTTTCTACATTAATGAATCTTGTCTTCTCTGACATTGGCATTATTTCTCAAATAATTATTGTGTAGCAATGATGTTCAAAATATGGTACATCATGTAGCTGTAAATGTAGCATATATCAGTAGTTTGTTGCTTTAACTCTACAGTATATTTGGATATGTTAGACCTGATTAAATATATATATATCGATTAATTGATATGTTTGTTGACAGAAAGTAATCTGCAACTTTCTTGATTATTGATAGGTTTTTGGGTTTTTTTCTAGCAAAAATGCAGACCATTCCTTGGTTCCAGCTTATATATGATTAGATATGGTTCTTTTCTTTGTCTTTTGTAATAGTAAATTAAATCTTTGTATATCTTATAGTTTATAATATCTTGGACTGTTAGTTGAGCAAAGCAGGCAGTTTGAAAAGCTCACCTTGAAATTCTGATTTTTTTCCTACATAATACTGACATTTTTACAACAAATGATTGCTGATCTATCCAAAAAATAAGTAGTGGATAATTTAAAAAATCATCATTGTTGCAGTCCTAATGTTAGGGTAGTATGTTCTTCCTATTGAGTTATACAAGACACCAGTGCCACACGCATGTAGTTGCTTGAATTGAAGGGACTGAATTGTCAGCAGGTAGAAGCGGGCTCTTGCCTTTGCGAAAGTTGTAATAACATATTTCCACATATTCCAATGAGAAAAGAATTACCAAAGGAGCTGGTAACAAATGTTCATCCATCCAAAAACAAATGTTCTTTTTAAATTTAAATTTCTAGCAAATAAAAACTCTCAAATGTAGCTAAGTTAATGTAATACATCATATTGTTTGTGTTTTTGTTTACAACCTAATTTCAATTTTCTGCAAGGAATATGTGTATAATGTGTATATACCTCAACTTTAAAACAGATTTGAGCTTGAAGTCAAATGTGCTTTAAAGGGAAAAAAGAATAGGTTTCTTTCACATTGACCAAATCGTATAAAACCCAGTATTGACCTGGCTGGCAGATTTATAAAGATGGATGGGACAGAGGAGAATCTGGTTTTGGAGGGATATGAGTGGAAATGGATGGGTTAGTGGCTCTTCGGTGTAATAAAAGAAATGAAAGTAGTAATAGACTCTCAGTGAATTCCATTAGGGACACACTGACACTACACAAGCCATTCATTATGATGATGCTGTGAAGTGAGATATTTCATTGTGGAACCCAAAGCCTGGTGTGAAAGGGGACACTGAGGGATGGGTGGAGCACAAAGGTCTGCCCCAGCCTCGTTTACTGCCATTCTTTTCTGTTTCTATGGAGATTTGAAGCTTTTCACCCAATTAATCAGTGGAATCATGCTTTTCATCAGGCAGCCTTGAGCTTTTCTGTGTAAGCAATGACAGGCAGGAGACCATTGAAATGTTGTGTTTGAAAATGTGTGTGATTTTCCATTGGATCAAATTGAGTTTCTTTAGAACACACATTTGTCACATGGCAACAGCAGCTACTATAATTTGCAATTCTGTCCTACATGTATATTAGTTTCTAATTGATTTTCTTTTACAATCTAATTTTCATTGACTGTCTCTTAAATGCATACCTTCCTTTTGCAGGTGGAAAGGGAGGAAAGAAGAAGAAGACCAAGGCTGGTTCCAAACCCACCAAAGCCAATGGGTCGAACTGGGCCAATGTTCCCCTCCCCCCTCCCCCTGTTCACCCTCTCCCTGGTACTGAGATGGACCATTATCCCAATGAGCATCATGAAGGAGGAGGGTATGTTTACTGGGGATGTAACCACATAAGAATACATTATTAGGATATAAACAGATAATGTGCTCAAAACAGAAAATATACTGTACATTTGTTGCAGTAATATATTATTTTGTGTTAAGTGCAGGATAAAACTTTGTTTTAAAGGGTGATGTTGCAATGGTCTAATTTTTACCTCATAATCAGATATTAAACCTTGGCACTTTTGTGTGCAGTTAAAAATGGCAGAAAATTGAAAGAAAATGAAGCAATATAGCCAATTTCTTACAACTTCCAGGATACGCCCCGTGCACTCACAAATATGAATTTTTATGTGAATTTAACAGATACAGAAAGTAGCTTTGCGGTACACCACTAATGTCTACTGACTGTACCTCAGAGATTCCCATCTCTGTTGTATATGCACATGTTGCTTATTGCTATCATTGTGTGTTTCCTCCTTTGACATCCTTGGTAGTAAAGAATCTAGGGTAGGACTGCAGCTAACAATGATTTTACAGATTATTTCATCGATGCGTCGTTTAAGAATTACTTTTGCTTGGCGGCGGCGGGGCGACCCCCCTCCCCCAGTAATGGGATCAGCTGTGAAAGTGAACTCATGTCTGTGATGTTACAACCCAAACTCACGGCCCAACCAGGTGGAGAACAACAATCGCATGTGTATACATTTACAGCTGAGGATTGGTCTTACTTTTTGGTAGCCTTCAACTCAACAACCAATCAAGTTGCGGTGCTTTCTGATCAGGTGTCGTCGTGCTGTTGCGGTAGGCGACATAAGTTTCATTTTACGGTGGACAGACAGTTTATTACAGTATTGTTTTTTTCTTTTAGCTTGAAATAATCCCATACTTTGGACACTTTGTTCTTCGTCCCTCGCTATTTTCTCTCTCTTCCTCCACTTTGCAAGCAGCGGCATCATAATCACGTTGTGTTCACAAAGCGTAAGCGCGAAGTGCAACGGTAATAAATGTCTGTGCAAAACAGTGCGCTGTATAGTTATATAGATTAAACGAAGTGTTGATGCAAAGAATTTGCATTGATGCTTTTTAGTAATCAAATTCATCGAATTAATCAATTTAATCGATGAATCGTTTCAGCCCTAATCTAGAGTCTTTGTGACTTGAACGATGAAGACTTGCCAACGTGAGCAACACCACCATTTCTGTGTGTAATAACTGGGTTCCTCTCTGTTTTCTCTGCAGTTAATTACTGTACTACTGTACATCTGGAAAAAGTGAACAATCAATGTGTGTATAGACTCCACAGGCAGCCAGATACACATACACACACATACTCACTCACACAGGCTCTCACACAAAAACTCATATACAGATGGCTGCAGATCAAACTGTCTGCTGATCCTGTCTTCTATCTATGGGATGACTTCATGGCTGGAAAATAAATGAAAAAAAAAAAAAAACTATGTTCGAGCAGGCTTCTGCTGCTCATAGACACACAGATGGCTTCAGATTAAACTATTTGCTGAATTCCATAGTGGGAAAAAAAATCATAATTGCATTATTTCATAAAGTCAAAAGCGAGAGACAGACAGAGTGATGGATTTATATCAGCAGAGAATTATCCACCTCTGGGTCTAAAGAAGATGTTCCTACAGATGTTTGACTCAATACCAATCAATCCTTAAGTTTATTGTGTTAGCAAGTTTCTCTCTCTTTGGTCCAGTAGGTGCTCTATGTCCTCTTACTCCCATTTCCAATCTGGGAGAGTCATCTGCTTTAATAGGCTATCTGGCAGATGAAGGAGTCCTGTGCACTGTAAATCTGACGCTGCTCTTAATGGCAGCAGATTAAAACAGTTATGTCCCATGGAGTGTGCATTGACAAATTTCTTTAATGAACATTTTCTTTATGGCTAGTATTATTTCAGCATGTATAAGCACAGCTATGAGGAAGCGAAGCCTGATTACCTCCATAATTCCACTCAGGACTGTCATAAAACAAATTCTCACGAAAGTTGGAAAAGGTCACAAAGCTGTTAAATTAGTATATAGGAATTATTCTTAAAATATTAATATTTTTAAGAATAAGAAGAACCTTTTTAACCTTTTTTTTTTTTTATTTGGTCACTGACAATATCACACGCCTTATTGAAGTTCTGTTTCTGTTCATATGTTTTTTCCAGTGTCTTTTCTTAATAAGCGTAGTAATAAATGAGCTGTATATAACATCTGTGATGTAGTTATAGTGAGTTTTTTGGTTGTGGTCAGTTATATTCTTCAAATATACAGAAGATGATTGATCATTTTTTAAAGCTAAAATGTTAAACATTTTAGCTTCTCAATTGTGAGAATTTGCTGCTTTTCTTAGTCATATATGAAAGCATACTAAATGCGTTTGGGTTTGGGATAAAATAAGGAATTTTAATAAACTACCTTGGGTGTTGGGAAATTATAATGGCCATTTTTCTAGATTTTCTGACGTGTAGATAAAATGATTAATCGAACAGTTGAAAAATTCATCTGTAGATTGTAGATCGTAGAAAAAATAAAAACAATCGTGTAACTGTGTAGGAACTTTTGTGCAGTAAAAATCTCTTCTCATGCCAGGTATGAGAGTGATGGTTGGGGCCCGCCCATGCCCGTGCAGACGTATCTCCACCAGGGCATGGAGGATGAGCTGGAGGAAGAGGAGGAGAGGGTTCCCACCCCGCCCATCCGTGGGGTTGCCTCTTCCCCAGCTGCTGTGTCCTTTGGACAGCAGTCCACAGCCACCCTTACCCCTTCTCCTCGGGACGAGATGCAGCCCATGCTCCAGGCCCATTTGGATGAACTGACCAGAGCATACCAAATGGACATGGCAAAACAGACGTGGTAAACACTGCAAGATTTAAACTGGACTAAATTGGTCTGTCTGTCTGTCTGAATACTGTTGATAAAATATTCATTGTTGTCCTTTTAAAATGCTTACTATACATTCTGTTCTGCATGTATTGCTGCCAGGATTTATTTTGGTTCTGCAGTATCCTTCATGTCAACTGTGGGTGCAGCAGAGATAAACCCATTAATCATGTCATTTTAATGGGCCCATGCTTCCACTTAGGCGACTACTGTATTGTGCTCACTCTAAGAGACACAATTTCTTACCCACGGTTGTTTACTCTCCCCGCACCCATACTGCACATTCCATTGTTGTTGTGCTCATGCAAGTCAGATGAAGGCCATGCTTCATTCTGTCGGCAATGCGGGGAGAATGAGAGACTGGCGTTCATTCATAATAGTGAAGTGGTGGGGGGGGCAGGGAAGCCTTGTCAGGAAGGAGATGTCATGTTACCCAGTAATGACTATGTTGGTTAGAGAGCATCTCTGACAACACCAGAGGGCCAGTAATTACAACCAATTCCCACTGCAAAACACGTCAAAGACATTGCACTCCTCAAACAAACGCGGCTGTCAGCAGAGCGGGCTGCCACTGAGGTGACAGCCAAGTGTCGACAGGCCTTGGGAGCGTGCCTTTGTACCATCTACAGCAGCAATTAGTGGGTCATTGTGTTAGCATGCAACCAGTACTATAGAATTAGTGGAATTGTCCAAATTTATTCAGAGCTTCACATATGAAAGAGGTGAAATCTCTAAAATTAGCTCTATACTTCCACATTTTTTCACCATCCTGTAGCGTACAAACTACTGAATATTCCCTTTATTCTCTATAAATTCATCAGTCCTCCACATTCCTCTGTATACACCGTATGTTCACTCCAGAAGATTAATATGCTATCTCTTTCTCATCCCAGGCACATGCAGGTGGGTTCACTTCCTCCCCAGGCTCCAGCTCCTCCAGTGGGCTACGTGTCAAGCACAATGGTTTCTGATCTGGAGACTGACCTGCCTGATGAGGATGAGGAAGATGAAGATGAGGAGGAGGATGAAGGCTATGGAGCCAGGCATCCTCGTGGTATTGAGCACACACCAGGGTCTAGCATGGACAACCTGGACAGCTCTGTAACAGGTAAGGTAGTTTAATTCTTAATTGTGGCTATCTGGGCTTTTTTTTGTTGATGTACAGTATGTATTTGTAAACCATATTCTAATTTTTTAATATATATTCTTATGAGGAAGATTCTGGAAAACTTAACAGCACTTGTGCAATGCATATGTATATATTTGTAGAAATGAATAGTGTTATTTTTTGTCACACTTACATTTTTGTTAGTATCAAAATGACTGCATTCTAATTACTCTAAATGGGAAAACATCCAATTCCCATTGTTGTTACATCTTGTAAATGGATTGTTGTTCATGACATGCGTACATTTTTGTATGAACAAGCTTACTGAGTGTCCCTCAATCAAGTTTTGTTAAGCACTTTTGGCAGACTCTGGGGAATTATAATTATCATTTCCAAAAAAGAGATAAGAAAGTCCATGAATTTTAAACAGGATAGTGAGAGGGAAATTAAGAGGAGGGAGAGGCATGGCGGGCAGGGGAGAGTGACTGTGATTTAACTCGCACACAGCACCGGAGCCAGTGCCACCCGTATCTTCCCGAGGAGATTTGAAATAAATTTCACGTGCAGCATATTCCATTCCAGACTGGAGGCACCATTTCCATTTTTACAACTCACTGAAAACTTTTACAACCGTCTGTCAGGGGGACATATGAAGGGCATGACATTGCAGCAGCAAAGCTGGGTTCTGCTGCTCTCATACTGACCTGGCCTCACTATCCATCTGTAAACTAGAGGCTAAAACTGGAGAGAGATTTATGAAAAATTTGTAGCATTTGGATATCATGCGCTATAGGGACAAATTGTGATACAAAATGCTGGTGTGTTGTTGCCATGTGACACTGTGTATCTATCAAATCCTCCAATAGTCTGCAAATACTAAAAAATAAAATATCTGGAAATTTATGGTTGGAAAGAAACAGCGAACAAGCAGAAAATATACTGTATCTGAAAGTAGAGGAGCTGAGCCAGTTGAGAGAGAAAGCATGAGAATAAGAGGGTTGACAGCAGTGCTTGTTGGTCTACCCTGTCAGTGGCAACCCTAAATAGTAGTTTTCCATGGGATGATGGAACAGTGGTTTGGGTAACGCTGACACATGCTACCACTGATGTATTTAGAGGAATATAAAGCAGCAACTGGGCCGTAATCTACTGCATCTCTCCTCCACTGTATTACTCTGAAGACGGCACTATTTCTTCTTATCTCTCTGCAAGTCTGCCTCGCACCCCATCGTTTGACAACACAGACACGGTCCTAGCTCCAGGTTTAGCGGGAGGAAAAGAGGGAGGATAGAGGAAAACGCTTAGATTTATTGTGGCCACCATTTTGAGGCTATACAAATATGGGAGGGTAGGAATGAGATTCCTGTCGAGCCTGGCTTGATAGATTTGTCATTGTTTTAATAATATGGAAATAGGTCTGTTTTCATAATGTTACACCAAAGACCAGTAAATCAAACATTTCCACTGATGCCCCAGAAAAAAAGCCAGCCTCCTCCTCAGGGACCATTTTTCACAAGCAGATTGTCTGCACCGGCTTTCCAATGCGTTATTCTATCCTCTGAGATAATACAACACATTTTTTTAGCAGATAAATGTAAATCCTGATGTTGTGGTGGGTGTTGCAGAGCCAAGTCTTGCTTGAGCCAGAGAGATGAAGCGAACACGTAGGTATTACCTGGCTTTGTGTGTAGGCGTTATAGGTCATGTAAAGCTGAGATGTGGTAGCAGTGAGGCTGTTACGCCTACAATGAGCTGAAAGCTGGGCTGTTCTGGGCGATTACTCTCCCATAAAGTCTTGCCAGGTTTGTGAGGAGCAGGGTCACGTCTCCTGGCGGCAGGTAGAGACGCCTGCTCGTCAGGGGGAATGATTTTCCCCTTAACGACATGCAGATTAGGGTTTCCGTCTATATAAATCAGTTTTAGTGGCAGGAGGGACCTGGGCTGGGTTTTACTGCCCTCCAACCATCTCCCGTTTACTGGCCTTGCTCTATCAGCGCGTGGCGCATGGGAGGTGTCAGACAGTGGTTTTTAGAGTACATGGCTTGGCCCATTGCTCTGGTTCAAGACATGATAAAAGGACAGACCCGTAGTGCAAACCTTGTTCTAGAGCTACAAAAAAAGAAAACTAGATTGAATTTTTTATCAAATTATGTGACAATGATCACAGTTTGATTAGACTGCTATTTCTGAGAATAGAAGTGCTCCAGAGGTTCAGCAGTAGAAAGTGGCAGTTAGAGCAACTGAAAAGTCATTCTGTGATGTGATTTGCTGAGGCAGTGTTCCTTCGCTGAGCCGGAGGAGTTGGAAGCTTCAGTGCTTTGGCTGGCACTGCCTATACTTCAATATCTGCTCTATTCTTTGTGGGAGGATTGGACCCAGCGGAATTGCTGTCTTTCATTCTTAGAGAAAAACTCTTAGAAAAAAATTTCAAAGAAAATAGCCAGGCAAGATGGAGGGCTGGAAGTAGTTACTGCCTTGGATTTCAGTTAGCGCTGTAAAATGGGTTGTGTAAGGGGTTCTCTACTATATGCAAGTTTCCATTAATCAGAGAGAATTTTTACTGCAATAGGAGTGAAAAGCTGTTGCAACATTTGCTGTTGAAGGTGCAATTCCCTGAAGTCACATCCAGTGGCAGAGTAACCACCTCTTTGAGACATATGGTTAAAGATGAAGAGACTCCCAGATGGGGAAGTTGAAAAACTCTTTGAGGGGGAATAAAAATAAACACAATCATATTACCAAGTTTAATTTATAATTTTAAATGTCTCATCTTGTATTGCAAAGAGAAGTATCATCTGAGAGATCACACTCTTATTACGGCAGCTGATGTGTATGTGTGAGATGTGTTCATTAGAATCACTGATCTCTGCCAACCATCCTGGCCAGGATTATGCTACTTTTGGTATCATACTGACCTTTTAATAAATCCCGCTGCTAAGTTTTTGTTCCTGTCGCACCCTCTACAACCTTTTACCCTCACACCTTCCCAGTTCTCTGTTACACCAGTCTGTTCAATCACATCACTCTTGTATTCTGTGTGAGAGTGTGTGTGTGAGCAGAGCACTTGGGTTTGTGCCACTTGAGCAAAGTCTGCCAAACCAGTCCCACTGAAAGCTGTCACATTAGCCGACAGTTCTCTGTGTTTTTCTTGCCAAAGTGCCATATTTTTATTGGCAGACTGATACTTTTATATTTAAAGTGCTGGCCTAGCTTTCTATGTGAAGAAAAAATACAGAGCATGAAGAAATACCTACAGTAGCACAGATATGTAGACCAAAAGTCTTACGATATGTAGACATCTTCCTTACGTGTGTGCTTTCAATCCTGTCAAATACTCATTAATCTCAGTATTCATAACATGTTAAGTAGGGTATTCTTTTAATCATGTTTAATGTAATATACATGAGCACTACAGTAGCTATCAATGAGATACCTTGATTTGTGTTCAAATGCTCTCTTGTAATAAAATTATAGCACCTGTGGTGGCTTTTTTAAACAGGAATAAAAACATGGTGTGCATACCACCAGGTGTTTGACTCAATAGATTGCTTTGTGAGATGCTTCATCTGTGTCACCTGAGGCAGTTTTGTAGCTAACTCTGCTCTGCACAGGTGTGCTTATTGTTCTTTATCAAAAGAAGAGCAAAATCAGTTGACACCAGTCCTGCTGTTCCACCGTGTACATCGCGTGGTGTGTGTTTGTGTGTGTGTGTGTATGCAATCAACTTCTGCATGTGTTTGTACTAGATGAAAGAGGACAGGCCAGAATGAACAGAATGACTACAGAGAAGCACTCACCTGCAAGAACAGAAATGCCCTGCAGCAAATACAAAATCATTTAAGTGTAGGACATTAATATTACTTATTTTTTTTACAAGATCACTCAATACATTAATCCATCTAAATGCAAAATCACAGCACAGATGTTTAAAATGTCAGATCATATGTCTGTAAAGGTTATGGCCACTGAGCTGAAAAGTTTTAACATAATCTTGTTGAATTTCAGTGTTTTGAAATAAAATAGGTATTAATTCTCACAAGGAGTTTAACACAGTCCCATAGACCTACACATTTGCTGAAACCTATGGAGTTCCACAGGGTCCATGGTGAATGGGTGGGGCTCAGCCTCGGAGGATGACCGTAATTTCTCCAGCCATAGGTCCAGTTTGGGCAGTTCATCTGATGGCTCCATCTTTACCCACTGCAGCTTTGCCCAGGCCCTGGTGGCTGCTGCAGACAAGGCAGGCTATCGCCTGGAGGGCACTAGCCTCAGCAAGAGAGGTTTGTGTGTGGAGACCAGCTATCCACTGCTGGCCTGGAACTTCTACCAGTGGCAGATGATTTGTTCCTTTCTGCTCTGATTCTTCCTCCTGTCATCCATTGGCATTTACCCCCATAATGTTGGCTTGGGATTTCCTGTCTGCTGCCTGTGGATGCTGTGCCCAGGATGTGCATGGCACCTGTTGTTTATGGCTGTACAAGGATATCTTTCTAACCTTAACTTTAACTCAGCTCCTTTATAACTCACCTGACTTTGCACACTGATTTTCTTGGGTTAAGTGAATAACTGGGTGATGTGTTATACTTGCATCCTTTTACAGGCATTTACCAGAGCACTCTATCTTATAATGAAACCTTTACCTTTATTTTCTAACAGGTTTTTGTGTCTGGATTGATAACCTCTACCTTTCTTAATGACAGCCTCAGCTCCACTGTCTAGGTGTTGGCTGCTTTAATGTCTTTATTAACCAGCTGGCCTGTGGTCCTGTATCCCTTTCGCAGGTAAAGGCTTGTCTCACAGGCCCCGGCCCAGCAGTCCATTCTCAACAGATGGCAGCACAGTCGGCACACACAGCTTGGGCCACCAGAGGGCTACCAGGCCCACACGCAAACCCCGAAGCCAGGGCACAGCACCCCACCGGAGAGATGCAGGTGCAGACGGTGAGGCAGCGACTGAAAACACATTTTAAATAGATATGTAGGAAGTTCTCTAAAACATCTGTTGTTGTTTTATAAGCAAGAAAGAGTTATATTAATACGTAACATAATATTGGATGGAAATGTTTCTAGATGTGATTTTAGTCTCAAGTAATTTATGCCTTCAGTTGATTCATTCTGTGGGTTCCCCTTTGATGCAGACCTACCTCCTCCCCCTGAGCCTCCCCCTTGTCAAGGGCAGGGCCGTATCCAGGGGGCCCGCAGTATAAGCAGCATGGTACCCCCAACAGATAGAAAGGCTTCATCTCTGGAGCGCCCGCCTATGTCAGGAGCCTTGCCTGTGGCGGATGACATGAAGACCTCCATCGACAGACAGACACGCACTTCACTGGAACATCATCGCCAGGCTCAAGAAAGGTTGGGCTCCATGGACCGAGCTGATGATGGGCGCAGGGGACTCAAAACAGGTAAAGTTGAAACAAGACTGTAGCCATGCCAATGGGCAAGCAACCCTGCAATGCTGCATTTGTTATGCTCATTAACAATCTTACATTAGCATGCAATTTAACATGCTTACAATTTAAGTCTTTTCATGTTTAGCTAAATCACCATGTCACCATATTTTAGCATTAAGTTGAAAGTCAGTTGGGTCAGACAGTAATTTGATCATTAGGTTTTGAAGTATTGGACAGCTTATTTGGATTCATCCAATGGTTGTCATGACAAATTAATCTGCGCCAAATGTTGAACTGACAGATGTATGGATGAACTGACTACTGATATCTCCATCACTAGAGTCATGCTGCCAACAGGCTTACAAGAAGTGCATGGAAGCCAATCACGAATCTTTTTAGGGTATTATTATATACTACCCTATTTATTTCACGGCTACCAAACGGCTCCCAACATAAATGTAATAAATACCAGTTTTGCACCACTTCTCATCCAAACAAAATCATAAATATATTTCCCTTACTTACTTACTTAAGTATTTATTACTAAGGGATAAAACATATATGGTTCACATTCTAAGCAAGTGGAAATGTTCTTGTTCATGACTGAAGTGTTTGTTTTATTAAAGATGTAACTAATTGTGTTATAGCAAGAAAACAACAAGAATGCAGGATTGTTACTGCTGCTGTGGCTTGTGTTGAAGTTAGCTTTCATGCTGCGTTTAGACTGGGCTCCCATGAACAGATTGCACTGTCTGCCACTTGCTGTGGTTTCCAGAATGCCCCCCTCAGCCCTCCCTCAGCCTCCTTAATGCCCCTGTAACTGTTGCCAACATGGGGCCGCTCCGCTCCAAGTAAGGCAGGAGGCCACAGCAACTGAAATGCACTCTAATCGCTTTAGATTTATTTTCTCACACAAACAGCAGCCACTCTACACCCCATCTGTGTGAGTCTGGGTTCATGTGTGTGTAAGTGCATGTCTGCATGTCTGTTTGTGACCGCTAGAGATCTCCATGCTGTGCGCCCTGCCCTCTTTGTGCCAAGACTTTCTCAGACAGTTAATCTGAGACTGTGAGACAAAGACAGGTGCCACAATCAGCATCTTTACAAAGAACCCCATAGGTGTATTCCCATATGTGTCAGAGAGCTGACTGATTCACAGTAGAATCCACTAAGGTCGGGGCAGGCTCTATTACAGTCATTAGCGGAGCAGTGGGGAGCAGTTTGATGAGATTTCACGCAACGACGGAGAATGCTGAGGGTCAATGTTATGCTGCCCTGCAGCAGGGGGTGCCACAGCAGCCAGCGGTCTCTCTGTTATTGTATCTGCCCCCTCATAAAGCTGGTAGCTGCAAGGCCATGTGTGAGAGTGAGAGTCCTCTCTGTGGCACACCCTGGCATAGCCTGTTGGCAGAACCACTCTGCAGATGTCGGGGGGGGGGTTGCAAAGTGTTCTTTGTCTCCAAGCATCAGATGTTAGATGAGTTACACTGCAACAATAAATGTCACATGTTGTGTCTACTTTTCAAACTTAAAGTATGCCTTTCGGTCGCTCTTTGTGTTTTCAGAGGACGGGTGCCTGCCATACAGTAAACCATCCTTCCCCTCCCCAGGTGGCCACAGCTCCTCTGGCACAGCCTCCTCCAAGGGCTCGACAGGGCCACGCAAGGCCGAGGGTCCGCGACAGCCACAACAATGGACGGCCACAGAGCACGCTGAATTCCTTGGAACCAATGGACATGGACAGTACTCTGGAGAGTTATGTTAGTAATTCAGTATTTTGATGTTTACAGCAGTGTTTTACGATATAAGGCACTGCATGCAGAGTGAAAAAAGTCATGTTTGGACAGTTCTGACCATATTGTGACCAAAACTACTGTACTTCTGGCCGAACATCAGTTTACCCATCCACCTAGTACTTCTGTGTTGTGCATGATGCCTGCAACTTCACTGTTACAGCAAGACTCTGGGAGGTCACTGCACCTGGCTGTAGTTTGCTGAGAAATAGTTACAGCACACAACTCCCTGTAAAACCACAACTTGTAGTTTTTATGTTTCCGTTTATGATAGATTAAACAAACAAGATACAATATGTTAATTAGTCAGCATACTTCCTAGAGTTGATTCTGATTTATGCTAAGCTAAACGAATCAACTCCCGGCTCCAGCTTTGTAACGCACAAACATGAGAGTGGAATGATTCTTAATCTAATTCATGAAAAGAAAGTCAACATGCATATTTCCCAAAATGTTCACAAAACTATTTCTTTAAATACATGTGTAACATTTTTGACCCTTTTATTTCCCTTGCTTCCCACAGAGTGATCTGCCTGGGATGTGAACTGGAGAAAACCCGGCCTGTCGTCGAAAGAATAACGCCCTCTCAGTTGGGGCCACAAACTCTGTCCTTATCTATGTGTTCTCAGACGGAAGGAGTGCAGCACAGGGCACTACAGAGAAAAGCAGTGTCACAGAACTGTAAATGTGATGTATAGACACAGACATACTGTACATCTCACTATGTTTTCGTCCTCAAGAAAATATTTTCCACCTCCTACCTGTAATTTTGTTTTTGTTAGAAAAAACAAGTAAAAAAAAATGAAAACATCTATATGAGAACAGATTTTCTGGTAACTGCCCTTGGGGAAAAAGGGAATTTTGTTTCCTGTAAATATATTCTTTAACTTGTTGTTGCATTGCTATGCAAGCCTAATTCAGTTTGAGCTTTTTATTTCCATATACAGGAACAGTTGGTTATTTGTACTATATGTGAATTGAGTGGCTGTTGTGCCATAAAATAATTGTTTTATAATCCATTGTTTGTTAATAGTTGCCATTAATTATTATCATTATTATTATTAATTATTGTTTTTGCACTGCAATTTTTGGTGATAAGCACAAAAACATAGCTCCTGCTGACATGAAGAACCGGAAGAATATGTGAAGAGGAGTTTCTGTACTGTAAAGTAAAGAGAAGAAAATTATATACTAATATACAGAGAGATATTAAAGAGTAAGGCTTTGCTCACAGACAGCAACAAATAAAGCACCCGTTCCCATAGTTGAGACTAATTGGGCGGCAGACACACAAGGTTTCCGAGGATCTGAAGGGCAGATTTGAAGCTGGAAGAATTGTTCACAGAGGATACTGTATTACTGTAGGCAACAGAATTCATTATTTAATTCCTAAATAACTGTCCTAAAACAGTAGTTGATATCAGAAACATTTACTGCTCAATGTTTTGAGAAATAGACTTATTTGTTTTTATTTTTAGACAGTACAAGGGTCTCCGAGTGTTTCAAGTTTTGTTTTTATGATTTACTGCCTAAATAATTGTGCTACACTGAGTTTATGCTCCTCAATCAGTATAACAGCACACTAACCATAAAATAGTCAAAAGGGAGGATGAATCAGTGAAATCTGTTCACATGCTGTTTAAAGCACTTACAGAGGCAGATGTATGATTATTTTAATAGTTAAACAGTTAGTAGCAATGATATTCCCAAACATACCTTAATATAAGTGGAGCAACATAATTTGTTTACATCTTTAGTGTTTTATTTCTTTAGTCCCATCCATTTCAATATTGTTTGCTTTTTAGAGCACTTACTGTTTTTTGTTTGTTTGTTTTTTTCGGAAGGAAATGACACATTGACCTGTTTGGTCCAGCTAAGTTCTGCTAGAATTAGGTCTTCTATTAAAGCATTTGTTGCTCTAAAGGTGGATGTCTCAGTTAACAATACGCTATGATCAGCACAGTCTTGTGTCAATACCTTTGAGAACGAATGGCGTGTGTACGATTTACAATGTAGCTTTGCGTCACTGTTTGATCCCAAACGGTGAAGTGATAACGGAGAAAAGCCTTGTATAACTAGCAGGTCTCACTGCCTCCATGTCTACAGCCACAGTGTGGAGCAGAACACTTTCTATCTGCCTGACCGCCACAGAAAACACACACTTATCATCTGCAGCTTTTGACTTCTCAGCCTCTGAATCTCAATTTCTGTCTTTTCAGACTTATATTGGTTGTTCTTTTTTTATGAAAAGCTTGTTTCTTTGTATGCCTTTTATGGACTCCAAAACGCTGCTTACAACAATGTTTTCAATATAAATGTTCAGGATTTTTGTGGTTCAATGACTGTTTGTTTTGTCTTTTTTTGTACCGCTAATGTTGATAAAAGGGGGGGTGGAAACTAAAGGCCATCAGATGCTGTTGTACTGTTGTCGTCATGACATTGTCATTTTATATCATCCACCCAGTGGCCAGTGTTCTGGAAATGAGGTGCAAAGAGTATCTCAGGTTATTTTACATTCTGGTGGTGTTTATGTATGTGTATATATGTGTATATATCCATATGCATCTCCACTTGATTATGCCATTCCATTTTCATTGACAAAAATATCCCTCTCATGTCCAAATCTGTTGTCCCCCTTTTGTTTCTACTGTGTATTTTGATTCTGAGTATAATGTGCTGGTTCATCCATCTTAAGACAAGATGTCAGTAAAAGAACATACCAAATTAAGATTGATATTTCTAATGTCTAATGCGTTTTAGTGTCTCTTTAATACTCATTGTTTTCTTTTAAATCACAGTGTCGTTTTGTATTTATTAAAATGATAATAAAAGTATATTGTGAAATATGCATAAAGATTTGTGGAATATAAAACGTGTTTTTTGTTTTCTTGTAAAGTTTGCTGTCAGAGCTGAGCAGCGAGGCCATAAGGAGATGATAGGCACACTATGCTCACAGCATGGTGAAATGCTGGGTCAGTAGTCGTATGAGTCACTCTTCATCCTGCATGTTCACCACACTGCTCCTCTCATGTCAAAACTAAAGAAACCTAAAACCTTTTTTGAACACAAGGAGCTAAAACGCTCACAATTTGCTTGTCAAGACAATAGAGAAAACGTCTTTTTGGAAGGATGAAAGTACTTTGGCTTTCCCTCTTTTGTTCATTTTCTCAATATTGTTGATTCTTTGTAGCCTATCTGTGTGTTGCCTTTTTGCTATAAAAGAGGATTAAAAATGACAAAAAGTGAAAGTTGTTGGGTGAAGTCTTTCTGTACAGTATGGGGTGAGGTGACACCCTGATCCGATGCCATTTCTACAGTACATTCTTTTTTTTTTTTTTCTGTAAACCACCTTCTATATTCACTTGCATGTCCTTGTCCAAGAAGAGAGTGGATCAAGAAAATAAACTTTTACAGTCTCATTCCCATGTCCTGTAAGATAAATCCATGTTCTTTTATTTCCTTGTACCTGGATGAATATCAAATAAAATATTTTTGAAAAATGAAAATGCCTAAAATTTTTGTTTGGTAGAAAGACTTGCTGTCAGACAAACCACACAAACGTGACGGAAGTTGGCCACCGCGCACAAAACGTGATGACGTTTATCTCGGCCGTTCGGCCCACGTAGAGCCGTTGTAAAAAAAAGAAAAATGACCCGATAATTGTCAGCGTAGCAATCAGTGTACATTATGCGTTAATATTCATACTATAATTATATTATTATAATATTAATACTGTAAATATTTATTTATAATAGCATAATGATAATAATAAAGCAATGTTTCAATTCATACTGTTGTTGTATATTTTAGTTGTTCCAAAGTGATTTTAAGTTTCACAAACCAAGAATATTCTGTACATCACGAGTCAGATGTATCTTGATTTAGGTTCAAAAAGAGAATTTAATGATAGAATAGCGTTACGAACATTGACACTATCCTTCAGCGGTTGCTGGACATGTCTGCTATGTTGACTGGACTGGACTGGACCTGGGGCAGCTAACCGGAGCTAGCTGGCTAACTATTCCTGACAGCCCCCCGAAGTATATTCAGAATCAGAATCAGTTTTATTGCCAGGCATGTGTACACACACGAGGAATTTGACTCAGGATTGTACATTGCTCACAATGTACTTACTTATACAATAATACCATAAAACAATAAAATCAGACACAAAATACAGAATAGACAACACTAATATACACACTATGATCAATATAGACAAATAGATATAGATATAGACAATATAGATATTGACAAATAGTGCAGTGATCAGAGTGCAAAGGATGCAAGAGTAAACTATTCTCATTATGTACATGTTGAATTTGGATATGATATACAGGTACACAGTGTGATGGAGCATAGTGCAAAGGATGCTGGAAAAAATACCTATGACCTTATGACCTGAGGTAGGTGTATTGGTATACAGTATATACAATATGACATAGTATAAACATAGTATGAACAGCACTGAAATAGAGAATGGTGAATAAATAAATAATAAGTGGTAGCCAGTAAACAGGTGCTGATTAGAGACAGAGTTACTGGGTTATTGCACACGTTGTAGTCTGTCCCTGTCCTTTTTGGTGGCAGATCCAAACCAGACAGTGATGGAGGACAGACTGGATGATGGCTGTGTAGAACTGGATCAGCAGCTCCTTAGGCAGGTTGAGCTTCCTGAGCTGACGCAGGAAGTACATCCTCTGCTGGGCCTTCTTGATGATCGTGTCAGTGTTGGGCTCCCACTTCAGGTCCTGGGATATAGTGGATCCCAGAAACCTGAAGGATTCTACAGCAGACACCGGGCTGTTGAGTATGGTGATGGGGGGCAGAATGGGGGGGCTCCTCCTGAAGTCCACGTCATCTCCACAGTTTTGAGCGTGTTAAGCTCCAGGTTGTTCTGACCGCACCAGAGAGCCAGCTGATCAACCTACCATCTGTAGGCTGGTGATGCTGAAGACCGTTGTGTCGTCAGCGAACTTCAGGAGTTTGACAGATGGGTCCCCTGAGGTGCAGTCGTTGGTGTAGAGGGAGAAGAGCAGTGGGGAGAGCACACACCCCTGGGCGGCGCCAGTGCTGATAGTCCGGGTGCTTTATGTGATGTTTTCCACCCTCACATGCTGACTCCTGTCAGTCAGGAAGTCTGTGATCCACTGACAGGTGGAGGCTGGTACAGTGAGCTGGGTGAGTTTGGTGCTGAGGATGTCCGGGATGATGGTGTTGAACGCCGAGCTGAAGTCCACAAACAGGATCCTAGCATATGTCCCTGGAGAGTCGAGGTGTTGCAGGATGTGATGCAGACCCAAGTTGCGTGCATCATCCACTGACCTGTTAGCCCTGTAGGCAAACTGCAGGGGGTCCAGCAGGTGGCCTGTAATGTCCTTCAGGTGGGCCAACACCAGTCTTTCAAAGGACTTCATGACTACAGATGTCAGGGCGACAGGCCTGTAGTCATTTAGTCCAGAGATGGAGGGTTTTTTTGGGACCGGGATGCCAGCTGGTCCGCACAGATTTTCAGGCACGATGGTGAGACACCGTCAGGTCCAGGAGCCTTCCTGATCTTCTGCCTTTGGAAAAGGTGGCTCACGTCCTCTTCACAGATCTTGAGTGCTGGTGAGAGGTCAGAGGGGGAAGGTGACTGTTTGAAGATGGCGTTGGAGTGGGGGAGAGGTGTGACTCTGGGCTTTTCAAACCTACAGCATTACTCTTACTCTTACTCTTATATTACTCTTACCCTAACCATCACAGGGTGTGTGCCTAAAGTTATTGATTGTATGCATGTCAACCAGTTAACGTTAGCTCTACAGTGCCGCTAGCACATAGAGCTAACCTCCACTAAAGTTACTGCAGCTATATATTGACACCAATGGACACCCGCCGGTGTTCTGTCGATTTATGCTACCTATCGAGATGTGCTACTTAGCGGTTCTGCGCATGCGTGTGACCCGTGGTTTGTTTCCACGCCCATAAATCTGTGCAACCTTGCTTTTGGGAATGCCGTCGGGAAAGTTGCTGATCATCAGTAACATCAAATTTTAAAAAAAAAATCGTTATTAGTCTATCAGAATACGCTACCCCTGATATCTTAAATAAAGATGGCATAATATAGTATTTCAACATGCTCCCCATTTCCTTACAGTACACATGGAGTGAGTAAATGATTCTGTAATGGGAGCATTATTTGATAGGGGATATTAGTCTATCAGAATACACTACCCCTGAAATGATGTTATAATATAATTTAAAAACAGAAGATGTCATAATACATAATACTTATAACTTTATGGGATTGGAAAAGTGAACACATAAGGTAGCATTTTTTGATAGGGCAGAGCGACTCGATTTGCGCTACGGTAGCATTTTTCGACAAGGCATAAATCGTCAGAACACCGGCACCATGGTCGGCACTTGTCAACTCCGAAAACGTTTGGACACATTTTCGATTCGCCGTCAATTTTCTACACAGTCGATTTCTCGCCTCAAAACTTCTCAGAAGTGTATTTAAAGTTCTGTTGTTGGCCTCTAAAGAATAAAACGGTTAACATTAGAATCTTTTTTTTTTTTATTAAAGCTTTTATTCATAAACAATATGTTGAACATATAAAGCAGAGAAGCATACAATACCAGGGGAGCATAAGGTTGACCGAAAAACAAACAAACACAAAAAATGCAGAGAAAAAAAAAAAGAATAATGATAATAAAATAAGGGGGATCACAAATCAGCACTGGAAGATGTTAAACAGAGTAAATAGATGCAAGGTCTTGATAGCTTTCCTGTTTTTAGAGTATAGGATTGTCTTGACATACTGTCTGACTTGGTAAAGGAAGGTTTATGGTTGGAGAAGTTAGATTTGTTGAATATGTGATTTTGCCAGCAATAGCATCAAGTTGATGATGAAGAAGTGATTTGCCTTGGTAGAAGGGTATGTAAAAAAAACAAAACAATACATTGTCATAGGAAAGTAAGAATTCAATATATTGGGAAATAAATGTACAGATGTCTTGCCAAAAGGTGCAGGAGTGAGGACAAGACCAAAATAAGTGATGCAAGTCTTCTTCAGCCATTTGACAAAATGAGCAGTCCACATCAATGTCCTTTTTATATCTTCGTAGAAATACCTTGGAGGGATAAAAGCGATGCAGCATTTTAAAAGACACTTTCTTAATCTTATTTAAAATTACATATTTGGAAGGTGGGCACCAAATTTTTTCCCAGTCCAGATTTGGGGTAAGGTTATTCCAATAAGGAACAACATTTGGGACAGAGACTATTTCTTTTTGAAACAGAGTACGTATAGATCGTTTATTGTTTCTCAAGTTAGAGAGAAGAGAGAGAAGCAGATCTGGCCAACAGTCGTCGTGTAAGGATCCAGTGGCAAAAAAGTTGGTATGGATACTATATGATTTTTAAGAAGCATTCGAGCACCAGAAGGGATTGCATCAAAAACTAAATCATATTCCTTTGGTGGTATAGGGATACCATATTTGTCTAGAAGTTCGGAGTATGACAATAATTCACCACTAGAACTGAGGAGCTGTATAACCAGATAAATTCCATGGGTAAACCAGTTTTCCAAGAACAATGATTTGTGTTTATACGGAATGTCTCTGTTGTTCCAGATGTAGTATTTGTGCGGGGAAAAGTTGTGTTTATAAACTAAAGACCAGGAAAGGAGCAATTGTTTGTGAAAATTTGATAACTTTAAAGGGATTTTTTTCAACATTGTAGCTGCAAAGTTGGAGGAATTTAAGACCTCCAAGCTTTGAAAACAGGTAGTTCGGAATAAAATTCCAGATTGAGTTTGGATTTTTTAAAAACTGTTTTATCCAATTTATCTTAAAGGTATTGTTGAGGGTGGAGAAGTCAAGAATGTTTAGACCACCATTTACATAGGAGTTCATTAATACTGATTTTCTAACATAGTGGGTTCTATTTTTCCATACAAAGTTGTATAGCAGGTTATCGATGACCGCAGAGGTCCGTTTGTTGACATCCAGAGATAAGGCTGCATAAGTAAGATGAGATATGCCCTCAGCTTTGGTAAGCAAAATTCTTCCTTTAAGAGATAAGTCTCTATGAAGCCATAAATTTAATTTTTTCTGCACCTTTCCTACCACTGGGTTGAAATTCAAAGAGCATCTGGTGTCGTTGTTTTTGTTAATAACAATTCCAAGGTAGGTGACGGACTCTTTCACTGGAATGGTAGAGATAGACATAACGTTGCGGCTTTTGAGGGCAAGCAGCTCACACTTACTGATATTTAAAAAAAGACCAGAGGCTTTAGAGAATGTCTTAATTGTATCGATAGCATCTGAAACCTGTGAGGCATCCTTTAAAAATAAAGTAGTATCATCAGCTAGTTGACTAATTATTATTTCTTTTCCAGCTATTGTGATACCTTTCAAGGGGCTGGTCTTAATAAAATCAGAGAGTAATTGAGCACAGATCAGGAACAAGTAAGGTGAGACAGGACACCCCTGCCTGACACCGCGCTTTAGGTCAAATCTA